GGAAGCCCCTTCCTCTGGACCAGGAGCAGTGGGACAATGGCTCAGAAGCCCCTACCTCTGGGCCGGGAACAGTGGGACTCAGTACCTTGGTCTGGCTGTCTGGTGTCCTCTGTGTCTTTGTATTGTGGAATCAGGTGGCTGCCTGTCTGCAGCGGGGTGATTCGGTGTCTTCTGCGCGACTCAGGACCTCGGTAGGACATGCACAGACCTGCCTGTCTGCAGCAGGCTCTGGTGCCTGTTCTTTACCATCCTTGGGCCCTGTGCCAAGCTCTGTGGCAGGCCCAGGTTATCAGGTCAAGGAGGAAAGTTTTATCAGGTTTCTGAGGAATGGAGGAGGACAAGCAGCCCTTGGAATACTCATGGCTTATCGCAGTCCCTTCCTGTTGTTCTTTATGTAGAAGACCTGCTCCTCCGGGTGCTAGCCATCACCAGCTACTCCATACCCGAGAGCATCCAGAGGTAAGGAGACACTCCTGCCATTCTAGTCTGGGTGCCTCTTCCCCTCTCCTGCTCCAGCGTGAAATCATCATTGCCAAGCACCATCCCAGGGAGCCTCCCTCTTAGCCTGCCTGTCTCCAGAGGACACAGGTACACCAATCCCCATGGCAACCTAGCCCTTTTACCCGGGGGCCAGAGTAGGCAGAGGCCACTGAGGGTATCACCAAGGCAACGGTAGGACTGGGCAGCCAGCAAGGGCGCTCTGCACTGTTTTTGTTTTGTGTTTTGCTGGTACTGGGAATCAAACCCATCCCCAGGCTGGCCTCAGACTTCTGCCTCAGCCTCCAGAGTGGCTGTGATCATAGGCATGGGCCACTGTGCCTGACGTGCTGGGGTTTCTTACTGAGACTCCCTGTGCACCTTCCCTCTTCTTCTTTCTCTGCTGTGCTCTGCTCAATTGCCTCTGCCTTTAAGGCCCAGCCTTGCAAAATCAGCAGGGCCATTTGGGGGTCCCTGCTCCAAGAAGCCAGGAGCCGAGGGGAGCTGAGGAAGTAACCCTGAGCTGGACCCTAGGGAGATCCAGGGCTGAGAGTTCAGTAGAGCAGGCTCTACTTCCAGGTTTGATGGCTTCTCTTCCTCCTGTAGTCTTAAGTGCCGCCGCTGCGTGGTGGTGGGGAACGGGCACCGGCTTCGAAACAGCTCGCTGGGAGATGCCATCAACAAGTATGATGTGGTCATCAGGTGTGTGTGACTGTCCCTTTCTGCTCGTGTTTGGATACTGGATGTCCCAAGCAGGGGACCGTCGACAGGCCCCAGGCCTGTAATGATGGGCACCCTCTTCCTGCCCCAGATTGAACAATGCCCCAGTGGCTGGCTACGAGGGTGACGTGGGCTCCAAGACCACCATGCGGCTCTTCTACCCTGAATCTGCCCATTTTGACCCCAAAGTGGAGAACAACCCAGACACGCTTCTGGTCCTAGTAGCTTTCAAGGCGATGGACTTCCACTGGATTGAAACCATCCTGAGTGATAAGAAGCGGGTAAGTAGAAGGGCACATAGGAGGGAGAGGCCCCAGGGATGGGGACACTGTTCAAGTCAGGATCTCACGCCCCATGGTGTCTGCCCTGCAGCCCTAAAGAGCAGCCGGGACAGTGTGAACTGGGCTCCCTGCCAAGGGCAGTGTTCTGCAGGGCTTCTGATAAGCCTCGTAGCAGCCCCGGGGGAGTCAGGCAGTGGCATCCAAAAGCCCCCCACACTGGAGGTTGTCTGCTGCCAGATGTGTATGCCTGTGAGCAGAGGAACCCTCCAGCAGCCCTAGGCAGACAGAGGATGGGCCAGAACAGTGAGCTTTGTGCCCTTCTAGACGGTCCCCAGCAAAGGCCTACTCCTTCACTTTGCCATCTGGACAAAGCCTAAACTGTCCAGTCTGGCTTGTTTTGTTTTGTTGAGACAAAATCTCACTGTGTAGTCTAGGCTGGCCTTTATCTCACTGTATTTCTTGGGCTGGTCTTGAATTCCCTGTCCTCCTGCTCCATCCTCCCAAGTGCTAGGATTACAAACATGTGCCACCTGACTGGTTCCCAGTCTGCCATTTTTTGCCCAGTGTTTAGACAACTTCAAACATAGTAGGCCCTTCTTGCTGTTTGGGTATCCTGGCTGTGGGTAATGGTTGGACCCCATACTCTGCACACCTTGTCACCTGGCCCTCCCCTCCCCTCTCTTCTCCCTCTCTCGAGTTCTCTTCATTCTCCCATCCATCTCAGGCACAGGCTACCTCCTTCCCCTTCCATCTGCACTTCCGAAGCCTCTTCTTCACCTGGATCCCACCCCTAGCTGAAGGCCCCCATCTGGGCTGGACTTGGAAAACAGATCTTCACCCACTGTCACCTCTGTCACTTCCAACCCCATCCCCTAGGTGCAGAAAGGCTTCTGGAAGCATCCTCCCCTCATCTGGGATGTCAACCCAAAGCAGGTTCGGATCCTCAATCCCTTCTTCATGGAGATTGCCGCCAACAAGCTGCTGAGCCTGCCAATGCATCAGCTGCGCAGAGTCAAGCAGGTGAGGGTGGGCAGAGAGCTACGGGGAAGCCATGGAGGAATCCAGGAGAGGGGTCAACAGTAAGAGAGACCTTGTGCTTGAGCTTCGGGAGCTCACCTGTAACCGAGGGCAGGCTTCTTGGGCATGTGCTGTGGGGAACTGTGGGGCATCTTACAACCAGTGACACAACTGTGTTGGGCTCGGGGCTGGAGTTAGAAGATGGGTTTGGCAGGTGCTGGTGAAAATTTGGAAGCAAGCTGCTGCTGGAGCAGTCACTGGTCCTATCTTTGGATCAGCCTGAGCTTGTACAGATTTATCATGAGATACAGCTGTGAGCTTACCTGGGAAGGTGTTAGTCTGAGTGAATTTCTACATGCTCTGTTGGGGTGGTATATGTTTGCAAGTTAATCGTTTTTGATTTCAGCTCAGTGCCTCATGGTCTTCAGCTGGAAGCCTTTAACCCACTCTGTATCTTCCCAAGTACCTCTCCCCGTTTCTTAGACCCCCTTGGTGGGTGGGTGGGTGCAGGATTCTGTGGATGGTGGGAGGAGGTAAGTCAGTGTTGTAGACAGTACTCCTGTACCATTCACCGTGTGGCGTTGAGCAGGTCAAGCATTTGGACCCTCAGTTTTCTTGTCTATATGATGGGGCTGATATTCATGCTGACCTTTTAAGGCCATTGTGGGATCTAAGAAGATAGTTATTATATAAAACGCTTATCATGGAGAGTGGAACACAGTACCTGCTCAATAAATATTTGCCAAATTTTGAATAATTTTATTCTTGACAATATCTACTGTTACGCAGCTCCATGTGTTGCATGCCTGCTTGTATCACCTTTTAGTGCTGGGCCTGAAGCCTGCATGCTTGGTAGGTGAAACATGCTCCTTGCTCCAAGGAGACTCAATCCGGCAGAATAAGCCTACAGGTTGCACTGTGGAGTGTAAAATACTACAATAGAGTTGTTCCAAGTGCTCTGGGAGTTCAGAGAAGGGGTAGACTTCTGCCAAGGGCTGTCTGGGGGTTTCTCAGAGGAGAAACTGCAGGAGAGCATATGTAGCCCTGCAGGCAGGGAGGCTGGGAGGAAGCATTTCATCTGGCAAGGCCAAACGGCTCCTCTGGCACCAGGTTGTTCTAGTGCAAGTGAAATTGAGGGGCAATAAAGAGGACTTTATGGCGTGGGTAAGGGTGTAAGTGGAATAAAGTATGGAGAGGGATGCTAAGGACCTGAACCCAATCCTAGGGAAGCAGGGAGGGGTTGGACGTGGACTCGACATTGTATGTTTTCTGTTGGTGCAAAACTGATTACTGCAGGGTTAGTGACCTAAAATTACACATACCACTTACACATTACACATACCACTTACAGTTCTTTAGGCTCTTTGTTTAGGGTGTCACAAGGCTGATCATAAGAACTGAATTCCCATCTAGCGGCTTTGGGGAAAAGTTGACTGCCCAGCTCATTCTGCTTATTGAAGAATTAATTTTCTGTGGCCCTAGGACTGAGGTCCACCCATCCTTGCTGGCTGTCTGCATGGTAAGGGGACACCCTCAGCACCCTGAAGCTACCCACATAGCTTGCCATATGGCTCCCTCTATCTTCATGTAAGCAACAGCAGGCCAAACCCTTCTTGTGCTTCAGATCTTTGACTTCCATTTTCGATCTGAACATGCAGCTTTAAAGGCCAGCCTGTCAGGATGGTCCCCATTTTGTGGCCAACTGTGCCACAGAAAGTAACTTGTGAAATGTCACACATTCATCCTATTGGTAGGTTCCACATACCTGCGAAAGGAATAGATTAAACAAGAGTGAGGGTCACTGGCGGGCCCCTTACAATTCTGCCTGCTATAACTTATGTTTTACAGGTAGAATTGAGAGGTTTATGAGCTGTTCTTGGTTTCCCGCTTCGACAGCAACATGGATGCTTGATGCATTTAACTAACACAGAGTCAAGCAGGAGGACAGGCGTGGTGTTTAAGGAACCTGTGTCCAGGCAGACCTGGCAGGGCCAGGTGGTTGGTTCAGGGCCCAACCTGGATGAAAGGACACAGCAGTGGTTAAAGCAGCAAAGGAGAAAAAACACAGGCAGAGAGCTTAAAGGAAAGCAGGAGAGCTTGAAAGGACCCTGGGAGGAGGCTGGCATTAAGGGGTCTGATGGGGCCCAGGAAGTGGTTCCCCTGTGGGAGCGTACTGCTAAAGGGCTCTGCAAAGCAGGTTATTAGGGCTGAGGTAGATGCATTTCGCCACCTGCCATTTCGGTGGAGGACTATATTGTAGTTTGTTAATATTCAACATAAACCTGTGCCAGGCATGTGCCTGTAATCCCAGCACTGGGAGGCTTGAGACAGGAGGATGACAAGTTTGACCCCATCCTGGACAACTTAGAGAGACCCTGTCTCCAAATAAAAAATGTGCTGGGGGTGTAGCTTAACGAAAAGGCCTTGGGTTCATCCTCAGTGCTGCCAAATGAAATAAAATAAAGGAAAATACAATAAAAACGTAGTGTCTGATATATATGAGTGTTCAGACTATACTAGTATTGTGATTGTCATTCTGATTGCCACTGTCCTTCCTAGAGGCCCAAGCCCTCTCCCAGATAGATGTCTGAAGTTGTAATACCCACAATGGCAGCCACTACAATTGGCATATCTGGGAGAAGGTTTTGAGTCTCTAGGGAGGACAGTGGCAATTGGGATGACAGTAGTGACACTCATCATACTAGTACTTTAATGATACTAGCCCTTGGGAAGCTGAAGCAGGAGGATTACAAGTTTGAGTCCTGCCTGAGCTACTTAGCAAGACCCTGTCTCAAAATAAAAAAGGGCTGGAAATGTAGCCCACTGGTTGAGCACCCCTGGCTTCAATCCCCAGTACCACAATTAAAAAAAAAAAAATTCAGTTTCTCAGTTGCACTAGTCCCATTCAGGGGCTCAGTTGGGTTGAGCCTGTACTCTCGGGCCACACAGGTGACGTGTACAGTATTTCCATGACTGCCCAGTTTTATCATAGAACACAGGCCCAGAAGATGGGGGAGGAGCAGGGCTTCCTCTAATACCTTCCCACCCCTTGTCCTGCAGAAGCCGACCACAGGCCTGTTAGCTATCACCATGGCCCTCCACCTCTGTGACCTGGTGCACATTGCTGGCTTCGGTTATCCCAATGCCTTTGATAAGAAGCAGACCATTCACTACTATGAGCAGATCACACTCAAGTCCATGGCGGTAAGCGGCTCTGCTTGGGGGCTTAGTGGGCTAAGTGGGCCTGGGGAACAGACAAAGGGGTGCTGGGTGAGAGGGGTGCAGGCACCCCAAGGTGGCTCCTAATGCAGTCATTCGGAGTCAGAAGTGGTACCGAGGCATCTGGACTCCCAGTGTGCATCCTCCATATATGTCCATTCAGGTTCTGTCTTCCTTCCAAGAGCCACTGCAGGAGAGATTGCCCAAGAAGCCTGGGACCGTGGGGTAGGGAAAAGAGTTTCTTGGGGTAAGAGAGGTCCCTGGGAGCCACTCAACTTCCTCCCCTGGCTCTCTCCACAGGGGTCAGGCCACAACGTCTCCCAAGAAGCCTTGGCCATCAAGCGGATGCTGGAGATGGGAGCTCTCAAGAACCTTACTTACTTCTGACTTGGCAAACTTATCAGTTGCCTGCTCGCTGCCTGGACGACCCCTGTCCATGTCTGTGAGGAAACCTGGTGCCAGCACTACCCACTTGGACCCACCCTCCCGTTTGGGGGAGGGGTCCCAGGACTGTTCTGGACTAAGATGAATCCATGTCCCTGGTTGCTTTCATGGAGCCCTGAGCCAGCCAAGGTGGAGGCCCCGGACGCCGGGAGCCTGTCCAAAACAGGGGACTTATTACTGAGGCATCCCCTTTTGCCAGCACACAGAGATTATTTAATGGACTATTTAATTTTGACACAGGAGAGTGCTGTGGGCTGGTCCCATGGCATCCAGAAGTTTTTATAAAAACTTAACATGTGATGGGCCTCCCAGGAGAGTGGAGGTATCAGAGTGGGTGGGTGCCCTCCAGAGAGGGGTTGCTACCTCTCAGCAGGCATGGGAGGAGCACTAGTGAGGGGGGCCACCCAAAAGTTGACCTCATTAAAATATTTTTCCTAAAACGGAAGCAGTGGTGAGGCACTGTGTTCTTCCAGCTTGGGGAGGGTAGAATGGAGGTGTGGCACCATTCAGGTTTGTTAGACCTGGGCATCATGCAATCATTTAGGGTTGTTATTACTCAGATAGTGCTTGGTGCCTGGGTATGCCTTGCCACCCTGGCATAGTAGGCAGGCAAGTGGTACCCAGAGAGGCCCTTTCTGCAGACACCCAGCCTGGCAGCCTGTATGCTGGTATACTTCCCTGGGGGAGGGAAGCGGAAGGGGACCAGAGGATGCTAGATGGGAGTGGCACAATCTTTTCCTGTCTTTCTTTCCTTCAACATTCTTCAATTACCACAATCTCATGCTGGGAGGTTAGAGTTTTAAGGACAGGGGAGGGGCCAGACAAAGGAAGCCAAGTTTCCCTTCTCAGATTGAGGGGAAATCATAAAATGAAGTTTATGAAAGGTCCTGCCTGGGCACAGAATGCCAGAAGTTGGTGGGGGATTGGAGGGCAGCACCAGAAGGATTTGGTAAGGCTGTCAGCCAGTTGCTGGGTGCTGATGAGACTGTTTCTTTCCCAGGTTCCTACAATCCTACCATCCATGCTGTTTGCCTCTCACCCTTTGTTCTCCATCTTCCCAGACCTTGCTTTGCTGCCAAATGCCCCCACCCCAGCTGTTCCTTTACATCTGGAGCCAGGAAGGAGCGTTGAAACTCCCCCAGGGTATTGGAACTCACAGCTGTGTTCCTGGCTTTCTTGGAAAGAGCTTCAGCCTTGAGGTTTTGGAACAAGCTATGCTGGGACAGGACAGCAGGACAGTACCAAAAGATAGCAGTTCGGGAGGGACAGAAGAGAATGACACAGTTCTGGATTGTGTTGGAATGGCTTAGAGAACAGCCAGCCTCATTCTGCAGGGAGTCCCAGGGTGTGGAACTGCCTGCAGCCTCAGAGGCAGGGACACTTTGCCAGCTGTCTCTCTTCCTGACCTCCAGGGATTCTGAAAGGAACAGGGGTCTAAGTGTCTATAGCCCCCTCCCTTCTACCTATGAGGGTAGGTAGGTTTCGTAGTCCATGACCCCGGTGGAGTGTGTGTGTGTGTGTCTGCTGTGCTTATCCCCAGCTGTTTCTCATGAGGGTAAGCAAAGGATCTTGGTGTCCAGGGCCACTGAGAGTGGCTGTCCGAACACAGGATCCAGCTGTCCTGGACTCAGACTGCTGCCTGATACTGATCATGCCTAAATATGAGCCACCATCCACACACAGGCATGGGTCACACTCTCCCAAGCTCTGTGTGTGTTTGCGTGCGTGTGCGCGCACACACACACACAAACACACACACACAGGAGTTTTACATTTTGTTGGGTTGTTGACGACAGTCTTTCGAGATCACATACAGACCCGTGGGTGAGTGGGTGTGTGTACAACCACACAGGCCACTGATGGCTGGAAGGGGGAACATAGCTTTCTGCAGGGTCCCCCAAACCCTGTGGAGCCAAGGCAATGCTAGGCAGGGTCAAGGCTGTGGGTGGAGCTTTGATGTGAAGTTGCTGGATGGAGTTCTTTGGTGTTCTGAAAAAGACTGACTGCCTGCCAGGCTGCCTGGTACTGATTAAACCATGCCCTGAAATACAGCAGCAGGGGAAGGAGGCAAGAGGAGGGGGAAGCAGTTGGGTATAAGTCAGGAAATGGGGATTCTACACAAGGCTGTGCCAAGACCTTCCTGTGGTTAGATCTTGAGCCAATCAATTCTCTGCTTTTAGGTCACGACCACTTATCCCAGAATTACCTGGGGTGATTTGAGAATGCAAATTCCTGGGTTTTAGGCTGTTTGAGATGGAGCCCAGGAATCTGAGCTTCTCACAGACATCCAGAATCAGTGCCTTAGTCTAGACGCTAAAATGATCCCACGGGCCTGCTTCAGCCCTCAGGTTTGGACTGCAGTAAACCCCATCCTAATCCCCGCTGCCCTTGGGCTGTTAATTTGGCGCAAGCGCAAATTTGCCCGGGGCGGGGGGGGGGGGAGTAACCTCTTCCTCGGCTCTGCTTCCACCGCACGGCCGCTGGGGCGGGGCCGCACATGCGCTGTCAGTGGGCACACCGCTCTTCGGTGGGAGCCTGAGCGGACTCCTCCGCATGCGTGGCCTGCCTCCGCCCTCCGGTCTCTCAGGATGCTGGGCGAGGGTGGCCCCTCTCTGGCAACCCGCGCAGGGCCTGGCCCGCTCCCTTGGCTACAGTTTGCACTGGGGCCGGCAGTTCGAGCGTTTGCAAGGGTTCTCCCGAGCTCCCGCCGGGCGTGTGAGCCTCTTTGAATTCGGAGACGGAGGTGAAGATGAAGACTGGACCATCCAGTTTACATGGTGGATGCCCAGCTCTCGTCCACTGCGGGGAAGCTGAGACCCCAGCAAGGGAAGGCGTTCTCAGCCGGGTCCCCCACCCCTGATGAGACAGGAGTTGAGGTCTTTTATCTAGCCCAAACTGAAGTGATTTTTTATATTCATATCACAAGGCATCGTGCCTTAATTTTGAATACTTTAGGTTTTTATTTACACTTTCCGAGGACATTAGTACATTCAGTTGCTTCCTTCCAGATACCATCTATCCTGCGTAAAGTCTGAACTTGGAAACAGTACTGCCTGGCATGCAGTAAAGTAGTGCACACAAAATACAATGGCTCTTCTTCCTGCTGTCATTTAATTAGCCAAGCAAACCCCTGCTTTTCCATCTGGAAAGCAGTGACTATATATGCCTGCCTCACAATGAAAATTTGAGGCTCTAATGGAAATATGATCATAAAGTCATTTGTAGCTTGTACAGTGTGATATAAATAGGGGACTGGAAAACTGCCTTGCATAATGGGAAATGCTGGAGAGTGTAGGAAACAGATGAGGTACATTTCCAGGGCAAACTACTTGCACAGGTAGTGAGTAACAAGGCTGGCTACAGATAAGATGCCAACTTCACATTACCCACAAACTAGTAGAGGAAGGTAACAGTTAAATGAATGAAAAGCAGGCTTAATGTCTGTGATTATGCAAAACTACTGTCCAGCAGCTTCCAAGTTAAAGTCAGACACTTTTAGGGGTTCTCAGAGAAAGAAGTTCTTCCAAGAAGTCATCTATTTTAACGGTGTAGATTCCTATCAAAGCTTGAGAAACAGCCTCAGAGTTTATAAATTCGCTAAACCTGACTCTTTGAAAGTTTTTGGTTTTTTGTTTGTTTTTCAGTACTGAGGATCAAATCTAGGCCTCCAGCATGCTAGCTAAGTGCTCTATCCCTGAGCTGCCCCCACCCCTGGCCCCTGAAGTCTTGATTATAGCTTCAGAAAGCTAGTTGTTAGTTTCAGACATTCCTTTTTCTGTGCAAGATGTGTTTCTAGGATAATCGTGCCTTCCTGATGTAATTTGAAAGTTTAAGGCATGTACAGATGGCCCTAGACTTAAGATGACTTGCCTTTTTTTTACTTTACAGTGGAACAAGCAATGCATGTTCCATGAAATCCATACTTAAGGTCTTCAATTTTGATCTTCCTGGCTAGCAATATATGGCACTCTATTCTCTTGCTGCTGGGCAGCGGCAGGGAACTATAGCTCCCAGTTGGCCAAGAGGTCACAAGGGGAAGGCACCAATCCTCCATGCTGTGCTGTGTTGTTGTGATTAGGTGTATTAAGTGCATTTTTTTTTGTTGTAGTTGTCTGCTTTGAGATAGGGTCTAGCTGTGTACTACTCCAGGTTGGCCTTGAACTCAAAATCCTTAGTCTCTGGAGTGCTGGGATTTATAGGCATAGGTCTGCAAGCTCAACTGCAATGCCTTGCCTCTTCTGTACTGACTTGACTTAATGATATTTTCATTTTACAAAGAGTGTGTCAGGATAAGGCCGGACGTGGTGGCGCATGCCTATAATCCCAGCACTCAGAAGGCTGAGGCAGGAGGAGTGCCAAAAGATTGAGTCCAGCCTGGGCTACATAGTGAGACCCTGTCTCACCCGCCTCCACAAAAAGAAAAGAAGGTGAGAAGATGAACCTTGAATCTTAGTAAATGAAAGAAGCTCAGATGTTTTGGAAGGATCTGCCACTGCACTGAAAAAGACAGCAGACAGTAGGAAGCAGCTGGGAGACTCTATAGAGTACTACGGGGATCAGACTAGTCAGAAGGGCTTGACGGGGGCGTTTAGGGAAACAGGACTCTGGGAGACAAGTACTATTTCTTGTCTTGTATCAGGTTCCTAGGGAAAACTAACACTGTAAAGGACACCCGAAGCCTCAGCAGAGGCCTGACTTCCTCTCCAGAGCCTTAGGGACTGGAGGAGTGGACTTGGGCTGAGAGAAAGAGAGAAGGCCCAGATGTTGAAACAGCCCTAGGGACCAGAGTTGGAATTACTGAACTAAGCTGTTCTAGAACCATTTATTATTGTGAGGCTTTCCAAAACACAGTTTACATCCATCGCCATCTTTTAACTCTTGCAGTGACCTCACTTGCTTTAAAATGTGTTTGCCTCCTTACTAACCAAAGAGCTCCTCTAACTTGAAGAAAGATAGCTTGAGTACAAGTTGGAGTCTGTAGGGAGACTTCAGTTCCGTGCTTGCTTTCTCTTGTGGACTTATGTTGCACTGACAGAGTCCTTGCATGGGAGGAAAGCTAGAGAAATGAAAAGTACTCGATCCTTGTCTGGATCACTGTGTCTCTGCTTGTCTTTTTTCAGGATTTCTCCAGAAAGTGCAGTCCTCAGTGGTCTCAAGAATACAACTTCTAGTTACCCAGCAGCAAGGTCCTGGGCCCTAAAATACAAAGGTGTTGGGAGTGTTACTCTTATGCAGTCCACCTGATCTTGTCTTTGCCTAATCGGAGATGACTGCCCGGGAGACGGATCCCTGTCTGTATTCAGCAGCTATCCTGAGTAGAACTTTTCCTCTTGCCTAACTGGGAATGGATTTCACAAAAGTCCCATGTAATTAAGATCACAATTCTCCCAGCGAAGATCTGGCTTTCCTAGACTTCACTTCCCATCTCTTTGAACATTAATATGTTAGATTTGCCACAAATTAAATTATAAAGGCACATTCTTTGCATGTTCTCATTATTGCATTCCAAGATATTGCCAAGGGTTACAGTTAAGTAGCAGCGGAAGGAAATACTTGTGTTTGTCTAGTGTTCCCCGGTCACAGACTTCCAGGGACTTTCTTGACCCAGGGATTGAGGTTGTCCTTGCCCTGTGAAAGGCTGAGTGGACTGACCTTGAGAAGGACACTGAGGACACGGAGTGGCAGGCAGGTATTCACCAGAACATAAATGTAACCAGAAGCGGCTAGGGGTGTTGCTCAGTGGTAGAGCACATGGTTAATATGTACAAGGCACTAGGGACAGTATACATACAGTATATTATAAAATCAGGGATGTAGATCACAGTTTGATTGTGTGTCTTGTGAATCATGTATACTCAGAAAAGACCCCTTGTTTATCTGTTTAGTTTGCAGTGATGGGGATCAACTTCAGGGCCTTTCACATTCTAGGCAAGCCTTTTTGCCACTGAGCTACACCCCTGTTCCCTCACAAAAAGCCTTTTTGAGATGATGGTTGTGGTAGTGACAAAAACCACAGGACTTGCAGTAATGAAAGCCTGTATGTCAAAGACCTGGCATTAGAGAGGAGGGGAAGTAGATCAAGGAGGAATAGGAATTACTGAGGGAAAGAATTGATGGTCCTAGGGCAAATATGTCCTTATCCAGGAAAGCAGTTCTTAAAATGTGTAGAAAGAAGAGTAGGTTGAAATATTCTCATTTTCCCAGTTTATGACCTGGTTAGGAAGACTGGAATATAAGGGTCTGGGGAAAAGAGGGAGCTGTCTGGGAAATAAGCAGCTCTCAGCAGAGGGCTCTTTCAGTGACTCTCAGAGATTGCTGCTGGTTTTGATGCCAGAGCTGCAGATGCTACATGTTACAGGTTCTGGAACCTACGCAGATAAGAGGCTTTCAAAGACCCCCCCCCCCTTTTTTTTTTTTTTTTGGTACCGGGATCAAACTTGGGACCTTGCACTTTCGAGGCAGGCGACAGAATCACTGAGCTAAATCCCTGGCCCCTCAAAGACCCTTTTAAGGGGAAGAAAAATCCAAGATTGAGTTTCAATGCCAATGGTCTATGTCTAAATGTCTGGTTCTTTTTTTGAGACAAGTTCTCACTATGTAATCCAGGCTGGCTTTGAACTCACTGTGTAGCCCAGGCTGGCCTCAAACTCAAGTCGATCCTCCTGCCTCAGCCTCCGAAGTGCTGGGATTATAGGCGTGCACCATAATACCCAGCTGGCTCTTTTTTTAGGCACACCAAGTGGCATTTTAAATAAAAACTCTATATGCAGGGGCAGGGGGTGTAGCTCAGCAGCACAGTACCTGCCTGGCAAGTGTGAGGCCCTGAGTTCCAGGCCTTGTACAAAAAAAAAACCAAACAAACCAAAACCCACCCAAATATATGCAAATTAAGGTAATTTATATTTAAATATCTTACTTCTATTGTAATAAAGAATTTTTTAGGGTTGTAAGTATGCCTCAGTGGTAGAGTGCTTGCCTAGCATGCTTGAGGCCTTAGGTTTGATGTCCAGAACTGCAAAAAAAAGAAAAAAAAGTTCGTTTTATATGGCACATTTCCAGAGAAGACACTAATGACAGGACTATCCTTTGTCCTTTTCAGTGGGTGCCATCACAAACATTACACATACCTGGGAAGACCTAAACCACACCTTGTGGTTTGCATTTGAGCTCCACAATGGCAAACACCACAGGCAGCAGCATATCCCTTCCAAGCAGGAAGAGAGATGCAGTTCCTTCAGCCTCCCTTCCTTCTGAGAAATATCCCAGGCCTCATCATGGTTTTTTTCATTTCACTGGATCCTTTTTTATTGCAGAAGCTTAAAGGTGGCTTCTAGGCCTATCAGTTTGTAAGATTTGCTTAAATAGGCTTCATCAGAGATGGCCTAAATGTGGCATTTTAAGTTTTTTTTTTTTTGGTACCGGGGATCAAACTCTGGTCCTTGCGCTTGCACAGCAGGCAGTGAAACCACTGAGCTAAATCCCCGGCAAGGCATTTTAACTCTTGAGGAGAGAGCACTCCCAATTCTGTGGAAGTTACAGAGGTGGTGGAAATAGCTCTGGCCTCTGCAGACAGATAGCGAGCCTGAGAACTAGAAACAGGGCCTTCGTCCAGGAACTCAGAGCCAGTAATGAAGTTAAAGCTATCAGAAAGCTGGATCTTGGCCTTGGCAGGGGAGGGGTGGACTGACACACAGAAAAGCTTTGTTTCCCAGGGAGTTGTGCTCCTTCCAGGTCATCTGGGGACTTGAGGAGGAGGGTGCCAGTCCTGCCTTCCTAATGGAGGGGTGCTTGTCCTTACCCAGCCTACCCAGGTCAGCTCCTAGCAGATGGCAGTGACCAGCAGCCACTCTGTCTGTATTCTAGGACGAGTGGCTTTGCATTTGCACGGTGGGAGGGAAACTTCTCATAGTGAAATCGAGTGTGTTTAAAAAATGTTTGCCACTTTTAGCTCAGTGACCGTGGACAAGTCTTTCAGTTTAAATCTTACTGCGTTTTTATTCCCTTCCCCTTCCTCCCCCTTTGTTCCCCTTCCCATTTGAACACACTCTTCTGACTTTCCAATATGTAGCCTCCATTATGCTCCTCACTTACCCTCTGGGATACTCACACAGGAGAAACGATGTGATATTTCCACCCATGTGTCTGATTTACTTCTTAAGTCTTATTTGTTAAGCTTCACAACCTTCTCAGGGCTCTAGAGAACCCTAGTTCACTCTAGCATTTTCCCTCCGTGCTGCTCCCTCTCATAAAGTCTGTATGTGTGACCCCTATCTTTTTGGCAATTCTTGTTGTATTTGTGCACTGCAAAGAGCTCAGAGTATCGGACATTGTATGGCCTGGAATTTGACCATGGCTGCCTGCTGCGCCTTGTTAATCTTCCATGACAGTTTACATTCTTAGCCTGGGAGTGTGTGAGGGAAAAGGGCTCATTTTGTTTTATGGAACAGATTTCTTCCTCATTCTTCTGGCTATTCTGTCCTAACCCTGAATTCCAAGAAACAGTGGAAACTTCCACTCTATCAGTTGGGTGATGGGAAGGGGCCCAGGGTCAAGGTAGGCTTTGGTGGGGATCAAGAGGTAAGATTGTCCATCCGTGTCCAATGTGAAGAAGACGAGGAGAAATGAATGGACAAATCTTTTTAAGTCATCTCTCCCTTATTCTAGTTCATTGAGGCATTTTTGCACATGGTCTTGGATACTTGTTTCTTGTTGGCAAAGGGAAAACATACATGGGAAGAGGGAAAGCTTGACAGGATTAATCTTAAGAGGACAGAGGACAGAAGTCAAGCCAGAATGTGGGATTGAGATGTACACTTCCATTTCTGATGGGTTTCTCCTCTCATGGATGTGGGAGCTGCAAAGGAAGATATCCAGGTAGGTGGATAATTTTGATTTTTCTTTTCTTTTTTTTTGGTACCGGAGATCGAACTTGGGACCTTGCACTTGCGAGGGAGGTGGCAGCACCACTGAGCTAAATCCCCGGCAATAATTTTGAAATACTAGGAAATATGATTAAAGCAGAAAAGACCTTTGTGTGGAAGAGCTATGAAGGCTATGCATGGAATCTGTTCATTAAGCCAAGTGTGGTGGCTCAGGTGTAATCTCAGCACTAAGGAGGCTGAGGCAGGAAGATTTCAAATTCAAGGCCAACCTCCAATAATGACACTCTATTTCAAAAAGCAAAAATAAATAAAAAGTGCAGATTGGTGGATTCAGGCCATCCAAGGAATTGATGTATGAAAAGAAACACAGACATTTTCACTGAAACTTCCATGGTGAGTACAGACTACTAGGGAAGGGTTCACAGCCAACTGGGAACCTCCAACCTTAGGAATGCATTCGTTATCATTCTTAACTTGACTTTGTTTACCCATCCCATCTTCCATGACTACACCAAGCTCCCACCCCAGCAAGGCCATTTTGAGAACATCATTTGAGTCCCATGACTGGTGGGCTACACTCTTTCCAGGGAGCCTCCTCCCACCTGGAAGCCTGAAGTGGAGAGACTTTCCTCTGCCGAATATCACTGACAATGAAGGCAAGAATGCCCTGGCCAGTGTCCAACATGACCACGTTGCCGTGACTGTGTTTGGCAGGAGTTGGGGTTGGTGTTTTTGCATGTCCTTGGGGTGAGGCCCGAGCACAGAGGAGGACAGCCTGTCTGTGGGGCGGTTTCTACCACAAGCAGACCTGTCAGTGGTCTTGCTTGGCTGGGGACACTGGACCAAAGAGGGGCAAAGCACCTTGGGTTGCCAAAGCATACTCGGAGCACTTGAGTTCTTCCTGTGCCTCTGCAGGAACAAAAGAACAGAATGGACTTGTTGGGGTGATGGGCCTAACATTTATTCTCAGGTAGTGGAGGCCAGGGGTGCAGGTGAACTGTCCCTCTTGCCCACAGAGTTTTTCTGGCGACAGGATCACTGTTCCTTGTGTTCACCAGCTGAGAAAGCAAGTCTCAGAAAGGCCTGGCCTCCAGCCCCTCAAACCACACCCATCAGGAAACACTCCAGTGACTATTCAAAGAATCCTGACCAGAGAGACTCACACTCCTTATATTAACTCCAATTGTGCTGCAGGGAGGCCGGTAGGACACAAAGCAGGGCAGGGGGAGGCGGGCCTGGAGGGGAGTGTTGGGCAAGGGGCTCCCCAGCATTCACACTCTCCCTCTTCCCCTCCCTCCCCACTCCCTGCAGGCTCTGGGCCAGTCCCACTTCCAAGTTCAGAGGCATCAAGTCCAAGGACAGAACAGCAAGAGTATGGTCACAAAACACCAAACGAACTGGGGGCGGGTTCCAGGACAGCGTGCTGCTTTGGCTAGCCAGTTCCTGGCTTCTCAGCCCCTAAAGCCTGGGCCACAACCAGTAGTCGGAGCTGGGGTCTCAGAGCATCCAGGGCTGTGGAGAACTCCCCCTTCCCCTCAGACTGTCTAGGAGCACAGGCATGGAGGAGAGCTTAGGGCAGCAAGGGGGAAAGACCAGGGGAGACCAGAGAGTGGATGGCAGGTTCATGAAAGCAAAGTTATAGCTGCCACTAGTGCCCATGGGAGGAGCAGGTGGTAGAGGGGCATCCAGGGAAAGGTGGGGGACAGGCTGTCCAGCACCAAGCACGTGCACTTAACTGCACCCTCTGTCCGTTTCCCCACCCACCCTCCTCTGGCTCGCTGCAGCTGGGGACTCAGATTTGTGCTTGATCAGAGCTTCAAAGGAAGGTGGTAGCAGAGGCGCTCACAGGCCATCCTGGAAGGTGGCAGTTCTGGGATCCTCTGCGAAGTAGCCCTAGCCCCTGGAGGCCCAGCCCGTGTGCTGCCCTCCTCCCCTGCCTGTCTCCGCCCAAGGTGCGTGATCCTCAGACGTGAGTCTGCATCCTCCGCTGCAGAGGTCGACTGGGGTCGGAGTTCTGGGAAGAAGACTGGGAGTGGTGGGAAGAGGAGGCGGAGGCCTTGCTGGCCTTGTCGAACTGCACGTAGCCATCCTGCTTGCCGCTGCTGCTGACGCTGCTATCACACTGTGTGTCCAGGAAAGAGCTGCTGTCGCTGAGGGAGCCCCTCTGGAACTCCCGCTCACAGAGCTCGATGGACGAGCTGCCCATGCCCAACACGAACCTCTGCCCGTAGTCGTAGAGGCGGCCCTGGCCACTCAGGGTGCTGTAGATGTTGGTGAAGGACATGCCTGTGGGCACACGCTGCTTGCCGCTGGGACGCAAATCTGGCTGGCAGCTGGACAGGGAGATGGTCGGAGTCGAGTGGTGCTCTTTGAAGGTGTTGACGCTGTAGTAGCCATTGGTGGGGTCCTGGGGGGCAGGAGCAAGAGCGCATTGCCAGTGAGACTTCACTGGTCATGGGGCAAGGGGTGTCCAGCGGGATAAAGGAGGTGAAGAGGAAAGGAGCAACAGGGGAGTGTGGGGGCCAGAACAGGAAGGGTTAGTTAGGCAGCGGGGACACCAGGAGCAGAGCTGGCCAATGTCCAAGTGGCTACAGGGAGCGTTAGGCACCGAAGGGAGGGAACCAGCAGCTCCTGACCGGGTTTTTGTCAGGGAGGTCAGTAGAAAAGCAGACTTTCTTTCTGTGTGTGTGTCTGTCCAGAACATAAATAATGAGTTTTAAAGTCTATTTGTGAGGAGGCAGTGGGAGAGGAGAGTGGGGGGAACTCAGACCTAACTCTCAGCCCTTAGTGTTGGGGTGGGGAGAGTGGGTGCCTCAGATGGGAAGCGCCCACCTCAGGGAGGGGCTAGGCACCTGTGCCCAGGCTGGTCTCTGGCCTTCTCTTTCTCTTACTTGTTGTTATCCTTTGTAGGGACTGGGGCTGGCACCACCAGAGCTAAAAACCAGATTCCATGGGGCCAGGGATTTAGCTCAGGGGCACTGCGCCTGTCTTATAAGCACAAGGTCCTTGAGTTCTATCCCTGGTACCAAAAAAAAAAAGACCAGATTCCATGGTCCCATCGTATAACCCACAGTCACTCTCACCTTGAGGTTCTGAAATTCCTTCTCCTCTTCTTTGAGGACCTCCAGCTGCTTCAGTACTGAGTCTTGTTGGAATTCGCCCCGATCCATCTACAACCCCAAAATGGCTGCTCAGTGGATAGGAAGTGGGCTCAATGCCACCTCCTCCAAGGAAACGATGACAAATGGACTCAAGAAATCACCATATATTCTCCTGCCTCCCCCACCCCTCACTGCCTGAACCACAGAGGGAATGAGATTCCAGATCTTACGGATGTTCCTGGCCTCGCCATCCTAAAGGACAGAGAGAGGCAGGAGATGGGGGGGGGGGGGCGGTGAGGTGTGGAACAGGTCTCCACAGCTGCACTTTCTTGGGTTGGACAAGGATATCACCAGAGATCTCACTTGGCTGATTCATTCAATTCATTGAGCATTTATTGAGAAATTTTGGCCAGGCCCTGTGCTAAGGGCTAGGGACACACAGATTAAAATTTAGGACAGTTCATCAACCAGGGCCAGGTTCAATGAGGCCTTAAAATGATATCATAGGATTCCTTAAGAAGGAATAACTACATGTGAGATGCTGGCAGCACAGTGTCATGGTTTGGATCTGAAATGTCCCCACGTGTTGAGAGCTTGACCCCAGCCTGTGGCGCTGTTGGGAGATGGTGGAACCTTTAGGGAATGGATGGGGCTTAATGGGGAGGAAGTGGGGTCCCCAGGCTGTGCCCTTGAAAGGGATATGGGACCCTGGCCCCTCTTCCCTCTCCTTTTTGCTTCCTGCCATCACGAGGAAAGAAGCCTCATCTGCCACACACTTCCACCATGCTGTTCTGCTTCACCAAGGACTGAAACTTGCAAAACCGCAAGCCAAAATACATATTTCCTCCTTTCAAGTCGATTTTCTCACACGTTTTGTCACAGTGACCTAATGTTGACTAACACAATGGGTCACCTCTGTTATTCACAGCAATGACTCAGCTGCACTGGAGTCTTCCCAACAGATGCCAAACAGCCTGAAGGGGAAAATCGCTTCTTGCTCTCCTGGGGTCCCCAGCGCACTCGGTCCAGTGCCTTGCATGTGGTTGTCACTGACAAAATGCTTTTGGAGTGGGCTCTTTTGATTATTCGATTCATCAAGTGCCTAGCACAGTGCTTGACATATAGCAAGGCTGTTGTAAATGTTATGTTTATGTTGAGAATGAATCTTGTGTTGTGAATGACTATGTAAAGTGGCTTAGTTCCAAGTCACTGAGAAGAATAATTGCATGTAAACTGAAAAACAAAGCACAGTGACATATAAATTGCATCCTATGGCAGGGTGTGGTGGCGCCACCAGGATGTGGTGCCTCCTGTAATCTCTGCACTCTGGAGGCGAGGCAGGAAGGTTGCAAGTTCAAGGCCAGCTGGGCTATGCAGTGAGTTCAAAGCCAGCCTGACTACAGAGCAAGACCCTGTCTCAAAACAACGCCAAAGCAAACAAACAAAAAAACTCCTCCCATTCTCACTTCTGCTAATCGCAAGGTTTAGGCGAGGCTCCCACTCTGAGCAGGATGTTCCCTCTCCCTTGGAACTTGCATCCTTGCCTCTTTTTGGAGCCCCATGGAATCCTGCCACCACTTTACTCATAATATTGCCTTTTTCATTTTTCAGTGAATGCTCTGGCTTTTTCTGGGTTGGATGATGATGTCTTCTTTTTCTCCTTCTCTTCCTCCTCCATCTTCCTCTTCCTCTGTGCTGGAGATTAAACTCAGGACCTTTGCATTGAGCTATTTCTCCAGTCCCCCTCCCCACCCTTTAAATTTTGAGACAGTCTCAATAAACTGCCCAGGCTGGGCTTGGACTTTCAATCCTCCTGTCCTCCCAGAGTGCTGGGATTTCAGGTGTGGGCCACCACACTCAGCTTGAAACTCTTTCTCACCAGATTCAACTGTTAGGTTTGCCTCTCCTTGTTGATGGGGTTGTTTCCAGGGTCAGAGGGTAGAGGCAGTCAGTGGGGGAATGAAGACCTCCACAGGAGGAAGCTAGCCACAGAGCCCTCAGCGAGTCCCACCTGCCAAATTATCTCCCTCCTCTTGCTGGAATTCTAGGTGACCCCCCTCTCTTTCCCAAGGGTGTGGAATTGTCAGAGGTGAGCAGAATGTTCCAAGGTAGAGGGAACTCAAGGCTCATTCACGCTGAACTGTAGAGACCTGCTGACATTTGTACAGAGATGTTCATTCTTCCTATGTCTGGGGTGCAGTTTCCCTTGTAAAACTAAACACTGCTGTGTCAGGCATTAAGTTCGGCCCCAGGGAAATAGATAAGCGTAGACTCAGGAACATAACCTTTGCCCTCGAGGATCTTGGGGTAACTGGGGAGGCTGACCTGTAATTAGGCAATACACTAGGAGAGAGGCACATACAGAGTGTTTCTGGTAGGGCAGAAAGTATATCGCTCCACAGCAGTGTCAGGGTGGTAGGGGTAGCACAGAAATCATGCAGTTGACACTGGAGCTGATCCCTAAAGAAGATGAAATTCAACAGGTAGCAGGAACAGCCTGTGCAGGGGATTTTGAGGAATGAAGAACTCTGAGAATGGAACTGCAGACTCTTGGGTGCGTCTGGAAAGCCAGAGGTGTTTGGTGGAAGACAGGGCTGGGAAGGCGGCAGCTGCCTTGCCCGGAGGCCTGGCAACATGCTGGGCAGCTGGACTTCATCCAGGAGTCCTGGGAGCCACTCAGGGACTGAAGTCAGCCAGTCACGGGCTCTGATTTGCACTTTAGAAGGACCCTTTTTGCAGGGCTCCGGAGGGTGGATTGAGAAAAGTGCCAAATGCTGACACCAATTAGAAGGCTGCTGTGGTAGTCCAGGGGAGCTATAACAAAGCCTGAGAGAGGGGAGTGACAGTGGAGAGGCAACAGGAACACACATTTGAGACATTTTTTGAAGTGGAATTGACAGGCCCTGAAAATCAATTGCATAAAGAGTAGCAGAGGGAAAAGTCAGTTCAATTCAATGAACATTTAAGAGCAGCTGCTGGGTAGGAATGGGGCAGCAGTTGCTCACCATCTAGTGGGTGATTTTAGAGCAACAGGAATAGCTAACATTTACTGAGTCCTTAGTCCTCTGTGTGCTTGGTTCCATATCTGTGGATTCAGTCAGCCACAAGTCAAAAATATTTGGGAAAAATTGCATCTGTATTGAACATGTACATTTTTTTTTCCTTGTCAGTATTCCCTAAACAATGCAGCATAACAACTATTCACGTTTCATTTACATTGTATTAGGTACTGAGAGATGATTTAAAGAACATGGGTGGAGGTGTGCAGGTGATATAAAAGCCTTGAGCACTCTTAGATTGTGGTATTATCAGGGCATCCTGGAACCAACCCCCAAAGACACCCAGGAACACCATGTTCCATGGCTTCAAGCTCTTCAGAGCTTTCCCATTTAACCCTCACTATGGCTTCCACACCCATTTTGTGGAGGATGACGCTGAGGCTCAGAGAAGCCCATACTCTTTACCCCTGGCTCTGTTGTCACTGTTCTGGAGTGTGCTCCAGAAGCATCTGGCATAGTTGCCTTGGCTTCTGCCTAGACGGTCGGGGGGGGTTCTGGTCCATCAAGGGGATCAGGAAGGGGACCAGCAGGTTTGGTGTCAGTGGAGAAGTTCTGAACTGGCTTCTGCTGAGTACTCCAGGTCCCAAGGAGGAACTTCCGTTTCTCAGAGACTTCCTCGGGGGTGGTAGTGGAGTGTGTGTCTGGGTGTAGGACTGCTTATAGCACTTATCAAGGCAATCTGAGCATACGTTCTCTCCCTACTGGTCAGGCTCTCTGAAGGCTGGGACTTCACCTTAGACATCTTTGAATCTCCAGATCACCGAGCACCATATTGCAAGTATGCACACGGATGTTTTCGGGCTGAGATCGTGCACTTGGCCTGCTGGAGGGGCAGAAGGGGTGCATCTTGACTACTGCTCTGCCTCTCTGAAATACCGAGGGCTCGGAGAAGTGGACCTTCTGGGAGTGGAAAGCATTCTTACCATCAGCTGCTTGATGGTGGAGTGATCTTCAGTCTCCCGGCCAGAGGCAGGCTCCTTGTGGACAATCTCCACTCGGATATCATTTTTGGCTGACACAACACCTTTGAGATCTGGACATAAAATAGAAAAGTGTAGATGCCAAATTCAGTTCTTGATGTCAAGAAGGAAGGCTTGAGATGTCACATTGCCCTGAGGCTGCCCCTCACCCCACCACCCCAGGGGTTCACCCTCCCTTCAGCCCCTGAACGAAGGAGCTGGATGGACAGGCTGTGGGCCGTGTGGCCCTTGTTGCATGCACCTCAATGTCCCCTTGGTGGAGAGGGTGTCCTCATCCATCTGTCCGGTTTACTGAGCTAAGTCCTCTCACGTCACTGCCTTCTCGCTTCCTTCTATAAGTCTTCCCTGCCAGGCTCTGATCTCTACGTCAGCAGAATCACAAATCGAACTGTTGGAAAGGACCTTGGCATCCACAGCCACCTCTCATCCTCAGTGGAAGCAGGCGCGCAGGGCTCCAGCTTCCTGGTGGTGCTTCCGTGGTGCAAGCTTGACTCCCATAAGGAGGCAGTCGATTTCTAGCTGAGGAGCTGCACCAGACAGTTCTTGCTACAAATGCTCCCTGATCATTTCCACTGAGAGGCATGGAAGGAGGGCCTGAGGCCTCATCACTGGAGGCCAAAGCTGCTTAGCTGGGAGTGGAGACCATGTGAGGGAGGGGAACCACTGGCTTCCTTCCAACATGTGGAGGCTGCCAAAAGGCCCAGGTGGCAGACTTATTCTGCTGTTCCCTTTGTGTATTCTGCTCAAAGAAGCTTAGAGCCAAAGGGGTCATAAAAGTCACCGTATCCAACCCCTTAACATTACAGCCAGCCAGGCATGGTGGTACAGGGCTATAATCAGAGCACTCTGGGAGGCTGAGGCAGGAGGATTGCAATTTTTAAAAATTAATTTTATTGGTACACTTTTGACATGGGATTGCAGTTTTGGACAATTTAATAACTTAATGAGACCTTGTCTCAAAATAAAAAATAAAAAGGGCCCGGGATGTAGCTCAATGTGAAGGCTCTGGGTTCAATCACCAGTACAACACACACAAAACTGAAGCCTGGAATAAGAGTGGCTTGCTCAGGGTCACATGGTAGAAGAGGCCCGACTAGAAGACTGTCCATCTGCTCTCCTCCTCTCTACTCTACCCTCCCACCTTACCCTGCACCTGTCTGTCCATCCCATGTAACTTCAGAGCTGAGCCCAGTACTGAAGTTCTGGTCACGCAAGATACCTCCAGAATGCACAAGTACTATTGTTTACTTGCCACTGACGAAGGCCTTTAAAGTTTGCTCAGAACCACTCCTTGAATGTTTTCTGTCCCCCGTGTGGGTGACCTGCTCTTCAGGTTGTACTCGTAGCCTTTGGAGAGCAAAGGGTCAAACCATCTCCTTGCCCCTATCCTGATAAGGCCACCTCTGTCCCCACTGAGAATGCTCTGTGTGTCCTGCCTGAAGCACCCGCTGCCTGTCCTGCTGCATGGTCAGTCAAGTCCAGCTCAGCCTCTGCCGAGTGCCTGCCCCGAGAGTTATACCGTAATCAGACCCAGCCCTGCCCCAGAAGCTCACAGCACTGAGGCCCCTGTTCATCGCACTCCTGCTTACTTGCTCTCCGGGGCAGTCTAAGCCTGGCCTTTTTCTCTGTCCCCCTCCCTGAGATCCCGGGTCTCCCTCCCGTACTTCTCTGGGAACGGGCACAGCAGAAGGCCACGATGGTTGCCAGTAGGACGAGGAAGGCCACACCAGCTCCCACGGCCACCCCGATGATGACGGCCATCGGCACGGACTCTGTGGGAGAGAGGTGGACACAGCTGACGAGCGCTGGGGAGAGCCCACTGTCCCCCAGAACCTCACTCGCTCACTTGGGTGCAGCCTCTGCCATGCAGGCCCCTCTTGGGAAACGTGTCAGTGGGGACCTGAGCAGGCACAGGCAGAGTCTGACAGGGTCAGCTCTGGCTGGGACTGCAAAGATGGGGGTGGGGGACGTGGGAGGAGGAGAGGGTGGGGAGGGGGCAGAAGCTGGAGCAGACACAGAGAAGGGAGAGCCAGGGGAGAGGAACACTGGGGATGTAGGGTGAGGCTGGTGGATTTTAGCACTCTGACATTAAACAGGAATCTATCCTGCAGTGGCTGCTGAGTCACAAGTCCTGCCTTGACTCTGAGAAATGTCAGTGGTCACTGTCCTTGCTTGACCAGTTTATTCCTTCCTTTCCTTCCCTCTCCCAGGTGCTTGTGGGATGCCTGTGGACTATCAGCTCTTAGTTTTCGGGTCTGAGACAGCTTCCCTGTGGGGCCTGCTGGAGACACTGTCTCAGTGCCAGGGAGGCAGGATCACAGTTCCCCCACCCCCACTTCTAAGGAGAATGCCCTTTTTCCTTGACCTCTGGTCCTGCTCCTCCATCAAAACCAGGCCTCGGAGTACCTGGGACCTGTCCCCATGTGAGAGGACTCAGAACTCCGAGAAGCCTTCCTTCAGTCCTTGTGCTGAGTTTCTGCAGTCTGTCTCCTCCTGGCCGAGTGGGGGTGGGGATAGAGAGGGTGAGGACGGGTGTGGGGCGCTTTTTCAGATAGCCCGGGTCCTTTTATGGGTGCATATGGGGCTTAAGTCCTGGATCAAGCCCCTCATTTTTATAGACAGAGATACTGATGTCCAGAGAAGTCAAGTGACTGAATCAAGGACACACAGCTGCCTGTAATCCCGGCACTCTGGGAGGCTGAAGCAGAAGGATTACAAGTTTGTGGCCAGCTTGGGCAGCCTAGTGAGACTCTGTCAAAAGAAAGAAAGAGGGCCGGGGATTTAGCTCAGTGGTTCCGCCACCTGCCTTGAAAGCGCAAGGTCCTGAGTTCAATCCCCAGCACCAAAAAAAAAAAAAAAGAAAGAAAGAAAGAAAGAAAAAGAAATTAGAGATGTAGCTAAGTGTGAAGGCCCTGGGCTCAATCCACAGCACTGGAGGAAAAAGAAAAGGCGCACAGCTGCGGCGAAGCCAGGGCAACCCTAGGCCTTCACCCCCCCCGCCCCACCCCCCGCCTGCTCCGGCCACTGTATCATATGGCATCCTCCAAATCACGCAAGCATTTGTTAGCCCAGAATGTTGGTTGTATGATTCCTGGCATTGTCACTTCTTTCGAACAACCTATTCCACCTCTCTTATCTGTAAAGGAGGAGTAATATTAGTTCGAACCTCCCAAGGTTGTTATGGGGTTTAGATGCCGAAGTAGATAAGGGCCTTGGAATGGAGCCTGGTAACAGGCCTACTCATGTGTTTGCTCCGGTCATTGTACAGGAAGGGGGAAATGTGTAGGGGAACGTTCCTTTGAAAGCCTGAGCTTGCTCCTCACCCAGCCAACATTCATGCTGTGGGACAACCAGGTATTCGTTCTGGTGCTGTGGTTAGTCTGTCTTTATTGCTGTTTTCTTTAAATTGCAGAAGAGAGGCACAAACCCTGAAACCCTGGCTCCTGAGGTGCTGCTGGGAGGAGGTGTAGGGAGGTGGGGGCACTGACCAGAGCTGATGCCTCTCAACCAGCAGCATGTGGTTAATACTGCTCTGTCCTTGTGCCACCCCAGGACTTGCACACTAAGCCCTTTGTTGCCTACCTATTGGTAGCCACTGCAGAGGTGACCAAGAGGAGGTAGGAATGGCAAACACTCAAGATTGCAATGGGAGGTGTTTGCATTGGTCTTAACCATCAGGATGGAAAGGAGGGACATGACCTCAGCCGAGCTTGCTTTGGCAAATATGCTTCTGTCTCTAGGTTTGAATTCCACCAGGGAAGGGAAACTTCTTTGGAAGCTATGCATTTGGATTTTATTAACTTGAGTTTGATTTAGTTTCCTCTTGGATTCCTACTAAGTTTCCTTGGGAAAACTCAGGGCTTGTCTCAGCTGAACTTGGAGCCAAAGCATGACTGTTCCTGAATGTTCCCAGGCCACACGTTTTTAGAGGTGGGACAGCAGTATCTGAGGTCCCTTCTGACTGGCACCCTGTTAGTCCATGTTTCCTCTAGTTGTGAGCACTGGGGGCTGATGCACCATCAGGCTGGAGAACAGTCCCCAAGCAGGTGGGCAGGGACAGAGGAGGAGGGGACCTGTGGGGGCACGTGGCATCCTTTACAAGTTCCCAGTGTGACTCTGGCCTGGCCTCTGCTCCTGTGTGGACACAGCACCCCCAGGACGTTCCCCCAGCAGGAAGTGGGGAGAGGGACTGCCCTGGCCCAGTCAAGGAGGGGGGCTGGGCAGGAGGAGTCTCAGGCACCAAGGGAAGAAGGGGTCAGGGAGCACTGGCCAGCGTGAACAGACACACATAAATGGAGGCGGAGGAACCTACCACCCTCCATGCCAGGGTGGACTGAGGGGCTGATCCAGGCTGCCTTTCTGAGCTGGCTGTGGCTTGGATTGGTGCTCTGAGAGCGGCACATCTGCTCAGAGAGTTGGTCATGTGGGCCCCCCTTGGAGCTCACTGAAGGGTGGGACATGGGCCAGTGGCCAGCATGGTAGTGGACAGAGGGCCTCCAAGTCCTTGGCAGGGCCTTGGTTGGCTCCACAGAATCTGATTTTCCATGTCCTGATTTTGTCTTCTGGTTTTCTGCTTGGGGTGGGAGTAGGTGGCCACCTTGCAGCAAGTGTGGGTGGGGCACTGCCTGGCCACCTTGGCCTGGGGGGGGAGACGGTTAGGGGGAGGGAGGTGGTGAGGAGCGGCAAGCATGGAGCAGACAGGCACAGTGAGGCCAGGAGGCGGCATCAGTGTCTGGGAAGCAATGCAGAGCTGGTGATGATGTGGAGGAGCAGAAGAGGTAGGGAGAGCAGGGAAGTAGAGAGACCAGGATGGGGTGGGAAGCAGGGCTTCTGTAGAGAAGGACAGGAGGAATGGGGAAGGCAGGAGCAAGAGCCAGTGTCCTGGGGAGAAAGGAGCCTGGGGCAGGCCTGGCAGCAGCAGGAGACAGGTCTCTAGGGTCCCCAGACCCCCGGCTGGCTGGAGGCCCCTCCCTTGCTTCATTGCACTAAAACTGGTCCTGGGGGTGGGCAGGGAAATTAGCGGCCAGTGCAGGCCTCTAACCTGGGTGGGGTCCCCTCCCCAACTAGCCAGGAAGTCCCTCCCCCCTCCCAGGGCGATTCTCATGGCCTCCTTTCGTACCTGCTTCCAGCCCGGCTCCCGACTTCATTTCCGAACCTGTTTGGAAATAAAGCAAGCGTCCACAGCCAGGGCCTGGCTGGCCAGGGTGGGGTGGGATGGGGACTGGCCATCTGGAGGGGTTGGGGACAGTCCATCCTGTCTCCGGGACTGCCCCACAGACCCAGGCTCGCCCAGCTGAATTTGGGGTTTATTCAGACTGACTAGGGGACTCCAGAGGGGGTGGGGACAGATGGAAGTCAAGTCTGGGACGGAGTGGAGTGGGGGTGAATGCCGAAGGGAGGGTGCAGGGTGGGGGCACTGAGGGGAAGACAGGAGGGTAAGCAACAGGGTCTAGGAGGGTTTGGATGAGGTGTGAATGATATTACGGAAATTATGTGCAAAGCGTTATGCAAAGCGGCTCCTGTTAGGGAAGAGGTGTTAGGAGACCTGGAGATGAGCATCAAGTGCAGCACTGAGGCTTGAGGGGCTCGGCTGGGACCACCTGCTTGGCCTGCAATCTGGCCCAGGGTCCAGGCCTGACTGAGCCCTATCCTGGCCCTCTGTGGCTCAGGGCTGGCCAGCTGAGGGGCAGTATCTGCTGCCCATTTCTGGACCTAGGGTGCAGCGGGCTGCACATGCAGCTTCTCTGGAACCACTTGGTGCCCCTCAGAGGCTCTGAGAGTCTGTCCAGAGAGCTGTGAGAAGACACTGGGTTTCTCAGCATCTGTATGACCAGGAGCCGAGGCAGCTGGTGTGCTTGATCACACTGAGATGAGCCTTCCTCCTCCTCTCTCTCAAATCTGGCTGCTGTGTTCCCTTCTGCCCGGAACAGCCCTTCTGCTGGGTGTCTCCTTAGAGTTCAGTGGTCTGATGTCTACTCAGGACTGCAGATCCTGGGCCCAGCCACCCCAATCCCACAGAGAGTGGTGAGCACCTGTCCTTAGCTTTAGCTTGGGCGCCCTCCGAGTTACCCCATGGGTAACTGGCCAGGTTTATTTTCCTGGGGCCCAACCCTGGTCCCCAACACATCCATGCCAGTGTGTTTGCATGCTCTGCCCAGTCGTGAAACCTGCTGAGGGCACTCGGGCACCAGCTCAGGGTGGACTGCGTGGAAGCCAGGGCCTTCTAAAGTGGTCAGTCGCCTTATCAAGGTAATTGGCTGGCTCACTCTGGTCACCTCCCCCTGGAACACAGCTGTGGGGCACAGTGGGGTGCAGTCTCTCCCCTTTCTGCTTCCTGGTAGAGGCTCATGCCCCTTGCCTCAGGGGGAGCCAGACTGAGGCAATGTGGCCCGAAGGGAAGAGCACAGTGGCTGGTCCTGGGACCCCCCCACCCCCGGGCCTGGCGGCCCTGACCTTGCTCCTTGAGCCGGATGATCTCCGTGTCAGAGCCAAAGCTGTTCCAAGCCGTGCAGTTGTAAATGGTCTGAAAGTCAGCCCGCACGATGCTGCTGATGGTCAGCGTGGAGATGACGCCCTCCTCTGTGCTGACCGTCTCCACCGTGTAGCGCCCTGATGTCCCCGACTCCAGCACATTCTCCTTCCAGGACCAGGCCTGTGGGGTGCACCAAGTTAGGAGCAAACCCCACCAGAGCTGCACACCGGCACCATGTGCCATCTCCCTGGCCCTGGTGCCAAACCAGGCAGGCTCTCCTCACTGTCATCACCACCAACATGTGTCCACAGAGGGACTTGCCCCCCCTCTCCCATGCTACACGCAGAGACACACAGGCACTCAGACATAATGCATAAACACATTTATCTTTGTTTGCAAAGTGTGCAATTATTTTTTGCAGTATTAGGGACTGAACCTAGGGCCTCATGCATACTAGGCAATTGCTCTTCCACTGAGCTACAGACCCAGCACTTTTTATTTTCAGACAGTCTAAGTTGCCCAGGCTATCCTTGATCTTGTGATCCTCCTGCCTCAGCCTCCTGAGTGGCTGGGACTACAGGTGTGTGCAGCCATGCTTGGTTAGTTTGTTTTCAGAGCCATTTCATGAACGCCACATGCCTGTCACATGTCAGCCCCTTGGGCATCCCAGAATGTGGCAAGGCAGGTCCAAGCCTGGAGGCACGAGTGAGCATAGAGCAGGGCTTGTCGAGCTCTGGACTAGCTCCTACCCAGACGTGGGCTGCCCATGGCTGTTTGCAGCACTCCTGGCTTCCACTTACTGGATGCCAGCAGCACCCTGCAAGCTGTGACAACAGAAGGCTCTCCAGCCTCTGCCCAAAGTTCCCTGGGGACAAAGCTGCTCTACTTGAAACCACTATCTTAGGGTTAGCTATCTATGAGAGAAACACGGTGTGAAAATGCTCAGGAGTGGAATATTTTTTAACGGGCATGTGTTACATTTATAATTTTAAAAAATTAGAGTGAAATGTACAGGGAGGTGTAGGTATTAGTTGTGTGTGTAATTCTTGCCATTTTTGTGAATCTGTCAGTGAATGAAACAGATGCCCGAGAACATGTGTAGCAGCCATAATGCCACCTTAGTTTACTAGGACAGTGGTTCACACACATGTAGCCTGCTGTCTCACTGCCCAGTGCTGGCCCACCTTACCTCTGGGCACTGCCTCCCTGCAAAGTCTGCCCTGCAGAGTTGACCCCTGGCCCCTGGGCTTACTATTCCTGAGACTGTTACAATATATTCACTTTTTTTGTTTTCATGCGGAACTTCTATCAGCTTCAGATGGATTCTGGTTCGAGACCCTCCAGGGTGAATTCTACTGGGCGCGGGGAGGGATAGGAGTTCGGAAGAAGCGAAGAGGGATGGGGTGGTGGTCTCTGAGGGGAGCCCTGTGGTAAAAGGGAGCCCCCAGTCTTAGGAGGATGGTGGGAGGTACGGGGAGGGGTTGCCAGCTCTGAGCTGAACATTAACCATTTTACCAGGCTGATCTTGAGGCCAGGAAAGGGAAGAAATTGTCTTTTCCCTCTTGCTTGCTCTCTGGCTCCAGGATGTAAAATTCACTCAGAACCATTAATATCACAGCTCTGTTCCCAGAAAGGAGGCTGCCTATGATTTTGGCTTCAGGATGTGTTTTTTTCAGAATGTGTTCTTAAGAGACAGGGCTGGTGTGCTTTTCCCCACAGAAGGAAAGGAGGCTCAGAGGTGTGTACCCACTGGGCCAGCTTCCCAGCTGCCCGGGTATTGGCAGAGGTGACCCCTGGCACTGCCCCCCAACCCCCAGCACTCACGATGCGGTCGGGAGGTGGCGTGCTCCGGATGAAGCATTTGATCTGGCCTTTTTCACCATGGAGGGCATGCTGAGTCTGAGTGCTAGAGATGATGGGGGGCCCTGTTGGAGAGGCAGTGGATTAGCGATCCAGGAAAGGCAGGTCCCCAGCTGGCTGGCCCCCACTGTGGTGGGCTCAGAAGCGTAGTCATTGATCCAAGCACTTGGCAAACATTTACTGAAGTCCTGTATGTGCAGCTTAGAGCACGAGGTAGGGGTCTTGAAGATAAATTAGGCATCCGGTGGTAAAGCTCTCGGGGGATCATGAGTGAATGCATCTAAGTCAGAATCCCTTGAAGACATAAATAACTGTAATAAAAGGTGGTTTATACCATAGAATCAGTGCAGATAAAACGCTAACCGCCTTCAGAGGAGAGAAAATAATTCTATCTGGCGGACAGAGAGAACTTTACGAAGGAGGTGGTGAGTTAGTGAAGGAGCAGGGGTAGGTGTCGGGATGATGGAAGACAGACCTAAAGAATATTCACGCTACCTGGCCAGGGGTTGGAGTTCTGGGCATTTCTCAGATCTCCAGTAGAGGGCGCTCTTGGCTAACAAACTGCGTGTCTTTTGCCAGGCCAACAAGGGAGGAAGAGAAACGGTGCTGCTCTGCTACCAAGGGCGGGAATCACCCTGGATAGGTGGGGCGTGAGGGCCACGATGATAACCTCAATCCAACACACGTCTCAAGAGAGCTGTAATTCATTATCTCTCCTGTTGTTGCATATATATGCAGAAGGCCCGGGTGAGACTGCAGCTCCCAAACTGGCCTTAATATTAGATATTATCCCATCCAGTCTGTGTCTGTCTCATTTATCACAGGGGGCAGCCTGTTCCATAGTATTGCCTGTAAGTTCTGCCCATCATATAACCGAAGACTCTTCTGTGTGATGTTTTCCTGGCAGTGAAAGGGGAAAGGAGAAGCAGCTAGTTTAGTAATTTTCTCAGCTAACTTCCTGGCTACAGTGAGCAGCATAGGGCTGGAAATCCTCCCTTTCTGCATCCCTGGTGTGATGGTTGGGACTTAGCAGAACACAGAGGAAAGCTAAGACCAACAGATGTAAGACCAACAGATCTGGAGAACAGGCAAAATTATGCTGGGAACAAAACAAAAATTGCTGCAAACCTAATTGCTGTTTATTAGCCACCTTAATTAAAACAGATTTGCATTTCTATGAGTAGCTCTCAGCCAAGGGGAAAAAGGTATTGAGCAAGGAGGATGAAGCTTTGCTGAGTTTAGGATGCTAATGCCTCAGGGCTGGGGCTGCAGACTTGGGGAACCTCAAGGTCAGGGCTTCCACCCTCAGATGACTAAGGGGGGGGGGTGAGCCCTACTTTCCTCCTTTGAAGGAGGATCCAAACTCCGAGAGAGGGCTTTGCCAAAGAGATGAAGGTTCCATGTGTTGAGAACCTGAATGGTGCTTTGTTTTGCTGCTGGGCTAAAAAGTGATGCTATATGCCTGGAACTGGGAATTACCAAGGGGTTCACAGGATTCTAAAAGCAATCAGCAAATGCATCTGCATTTATGGGCTTAAAAGGAAACAAAAAGCAGGATAAAGGGAAGTGGGGTTGGGGAGTCAATCAGCCACTGGCAGTTCATCTTCCCCTTCCTGTAGATAGCAGATTTGAGGTAGCTCAGTTGAGATCTGTGCCAATTTGTTCCCTAAAAGGCCCTGGTTGGCAGGTGTCTGCAGGCAGCCACTGGCTGTGATGAGGGCTGGTCTCATTCCAACCGCTGTCACACCATCGGATCCCCTCAGTCCAGGCCAGGCCCTGCCTGTTGGCTTCACCATCCCTCTACCTGTTCTCAGACTGGAGGCTGGCAGTCTTTTCCCCCTGGGCCACTCATCCAGCCCCCTGCCTGTGTGCCTGTCCCAGACCGGCAGACATAAGCAGGTCAGTTGCCTACTTCAATCCCTTCAGCATTTCTCTGCCCGGCAATGTAGGGCAGCTCTGTTGGAAGGGTTGGATGGCAAACTTAAACTGTGGGATGACCCAGGTCAATCTGCTGGGCCCAGACCAAGAGAAATGTCCTCCAAGGTGTGCATTCTGCAGGGCAGTCGTGGCAGGAGGCCTTCTCCCTTCAAGAAACCTCTTTAAATCTCCACTGGGAAATGCCTGCATGTCTAAAAGTGACAGCAAAATGTGGCACTTCTTTAACTACCTTTCCCCCTCAGAAACAAGTATGCAAAGTTAATAGCTTCACTGGGGACCCTGGAGGGCTCATGTGAGCCTGAGGGTCCCAGCCTCTGCACTGAAGATGGCAGCCAGACCCCCCAGTGTCTGTCCCAGAGTGGCAGCCGGGAGGGTGAGGATTTCACTGTGGCCTGGTGCCTGGGGCCCAGTGTCAGACACCGGTGCGGCAGGAAAAGGCTGCAGCCTGTGTTGCCATGGATATATGGAGGCGCGATCAGATGCTGTTATTTTTAGCCCTGCAGTGCCAATTTATTGGCAGCATCCTGGGGACACACAGGAAAGGCAGGAAGGCTCCCGAGTCAGGGTTCTGCCTGGAATAGGTGGCCTGTGAAGGCTCCAGGGTCTGGGCAGATTCACCCTCCCTCTGGGGCTGCCATGTCCCTGGGGGAAAGGAGGAGAGGATTGGGTGGGGAGGGGAGCTGGTAATGGGGACAGCAGAGGGGGTGCTGGGGAGGCACCAAGCTGGGCTTAGTTTTCAAGCAAATGGGAAAATAGACAAGGCTATCGGTGGGTTGAGAAGAAGCTGAGGGATGGCTCATTTCCAGAACACACCTACCCCACCCCACTCCAGGCCCTGCTCTGGGGCCGGGACCCGGAGGCTCCTCCCACATGAGTCTGTGGCTCAGGGCTTTGGTCTGAGGTGCTACGGTGGGCACAACAGTGGCAGGGGTCAAACCCCTGGAGAGGGCCCCAGCTCTTTCACCCTCTCAAATGGGTGGCTTTGGTTTCCGACCACAGCCCGAGGACACGTCACTGCAGCCTTCTCAGGTCTGGCCTGAGCTTGGACCCAGCATGCCCGGACCACCTGCTGCCAGCATCCAGCCTGGCCTGATGCCTGCACCTTGATGTGGCCCACAGTGGCCATTGGTCAGCCCGCACTGTGAAAGCACTGGGTTGTGTCACTGTATAAGAAGACCCATCCCCGAGTCTCAAGGGACCTTTTGTATTGGTCTTTGGATGGTGACAGGTCCCCCTGGCCGATCAGCTCTAACTCAATGGGAAGAAGCTGGCCACAAGAAGAGGGAGAAGGCCCTTAACCTTTCCTGGGGCAAGGCCAGGGTGGGTGAATAGGGTAGATAGGAGGCATGGTCACCTGGGACCTCTGTCCCCTTTTTCCTGGGCCAGGTTAAACTCAACAGGCTACCACTCTTAGGGCTTAGGGACCCCCCCCCACCGCCTTTTTGAGACAGGGTCTTGCTGTGTAGTTCAGGCTGGCCTTGAACTCATGATAATCCTCCTGCCTCAGCCTCCTGAGTGTGGGGATTTCAAGGGTGCACCACCATGCCTGGCTGGGCTGAGACACTTTTTTTTTTTTTTTGGTACCGGGAATTGAACTCAGGTCCTTGCGCTTGCGCAGCAGGCGGCAAAACCACTGAGCTAAATCCCCGGCCCTGAGACACTTTTAAGGTAACAAAAAGGAGGCAAGTAACCAGAAGACTATCCAAGCTCTTCCTGTTTCTGGCCTGCTCTGACAGGGACTCTAAGAGGTGGGTACAACTGCTCTGGACCCCTGGTTGGAGGTGGCAGCAAGGCCCAGAACTGGTGACAGCCCCTTGGGTCTTTCTCTCCCCCCTTCCACCTGGCCCACCCCAGTGAGGGTCTTACCATTGACAGTCAGGGTCACCTCTCTCTCCCCGGCTCCCACCCGGGGGACCACAGCTCGGCACACATACTTTCCAGCATCCTCCTGGCGGACGGATTTGAGGGTCAAGGTCTTTTCATTGCTTAGGACCTAAGAAAACAGGGAGGGTCAGACATGGGGCCATCAGATGGCTGCACACAGGCCCAGTGGTACCTGCATCCAGGGAGCCTGCTGGGGACTCCTGGCTTCTGCAGACTGAGAGGTGGAACTGTCCTCCCTCTGCCTTCTGGGGCTCCTCTCCCAGCCTGGCCATGGCTGAAACTACCCTGTAGTTAAACTTGGAGAGACCTGGACCTGTGTTTTCTGAGTCATTTTCAGGATCCCTTTGGGATGGAGCTTGGGATGATGACCAGAAGGCAGGCTTTAGTGCTGGCTGGATCTGCCTCTGAGTCCTGGCTCTGGCAGTGAAGAGCATGAAGCCTTGGTCAGCTCAGAGGCTGGGCTTCCTTATCCATCGAAGGAGGGTGGCAGCTCTTAGGACAGCTTGGTGTCCCGGGCCTGACTTCCTTCTGCCTCCACTGCTTCCTTCCCCAGCCTCACCGCTCCTCCCTATTGCAGGGACACCTGGCAAACTCCAGAGCACTAATGAATATATACATTTGAAAAGAGGAATGCAGGGAGAGAGCAAAATGCAACGTCAGGATAAGTTTATTTGTGGGGTCTTTTTTTGTTTGTTTTTTGTTTTTTGATGGTAGCTGTGAATGAATCCAGGACCTTTGCACTGAGCTATAGCTCTACTCCTTAAAAAAATTTTTTTAAAAAAAATTTTGAGACAGTCTTGCTGTTTCTTGGGTAGGCCTTTTACTTGTGATCCTCCTGCCTCAGCCTCCTGAGTAGCTGCACTTGCAAGCATGTGACACTGCTCCCATTTTATTTGGGGGAAGTTGAAAAGCCTTTCTGGGGACTTCCCATCGCTCCATATTGGCAACCACCTACTCTCCTTGTAAGATACATGATAGGAAAACTGCAAAGGCGAATGTGCTTAGGGAGAGAGGGGGAGAGGTGGGTGCCTGGGTTTCTTCTCCCCTTTATGGGTCTTTTCCCTTGGGCTTGTTCTGGAGATACCCCAAGTCCAGCTGTGAGAAGAGCCCTCCCTGCCCGCCATAGCCCTGTCCCGGGGACTCACCACACCCGAGCCTCGCTTCATCCACACGATGGTCAGGGATGGGTTGCCGATCCAGGCGCAGCTGAAGATGGCATCGGAGCCCAGGTCCACGAGCAGAGACTGGGGCTCCATGGTCATCCGGGGTCCGACTGTGATGGGGAGGAGTAAGCGGGAGGGTGCAGCTGGGTGGGGAGCTCCGGGGACCCTCTGTGCTCGCATCCCCTTTCCCCTCACCCTGGCTGGAGGACAAGGGACAGCTGGGTGCTTGGGCCACCTCCATCCAATTCGGCTGGTGCCCTTCCATGTTTGTCCTCTGCCCTGGTGGGGCCTGGGGCCTGGGGGTGGGACTCAGAAGTACGGAGGACAGCCTGTGTCCAAGCCCCACCTCTCTCAGGCCTCAGAGGCAGTGGTGAGCACTGGCGTGGATTCATCCCCCGGGGCCCTTGCATCTCCTTTCCTCTGTCTGGATCCCAACAGACTTCAGGAAGTCTGGGGTACCCCACCCCAGTGGGTGGGCAGAGGCTTGGGGGTCCTGACCTGGAGTCACTCACTGAGTCCTCCCAGAGCCTCTGCCCAGCTGTTCTGAGACAGGAGCGAGGGAGGCAAGGCTGTGGGTCCCTCGAGCTCTTCTGTGGGCCCTTTGCACCCCACCGGGCACCCTCGGGTTGGCCTCTTCCTCCAGCCTCCTTCTCAGCCACCTGAAGCCCTCTGAGCCCCATTTCTCACCTCTGCTGCCCATGGGACAGCACTACGCATGCTCCTCTCCGCCCCGCAACCCACTGGCCTGCAGCCCAGGCCTCGGCCCACAGGTCCCCAGGTTGTGCAGGCTGCTGGCCAGGCAGGTCTTGGAGCCGCCTCTGGGGCAGAACCCAACACCTGGGGCCCGGATCCTGGGGCTAGTCCTGTACCATAAAGCAGAGTGCATCTGTGGGGGCAGCGGAAGGTAACAAACAGGAAGTTTGTAAGTGCTTTCGGAACCGCAAAGGGCAGTGCCTGCGTGAATGATTGTTGAGAGCACCCCGCCCTTAGCAGTGGGCCAACTCTCTGCGGGTCCCTGGCAGCCCATCGGTGGGGAAGGGTGAAGGGTCATGAGTCCCCTCAGCGGGACAGTGGAATGTGTGAACCTGGGGCAGACTGGGTCATTATGGGCCTCTGCTCTCATCTTGACACATAGTCACTATGTGGCCTCAGGCCTCAGTCTCCTCATCTAGGTAAGGGGACAACAGTATCTACTCATGATGCGACTGCATGTTTGTGCCCCTCCCATTCCTGTGCTGCAACTTAACCTCAGTGTCACACTGGGTAACAGGAGGCGATCGGGTCATGAGGATGGGCAAAGGAGAGCTTGCTTCCTCTCCTCTCCTCTCAGGCTGGCCCCACAAGGACAGAGAAAAGGCAGCTGTCTGTAAGCCAGGAGTGAGCTCCCCAGAGCAGCTGTGCCACCCCGATTTCAGTTAGGCTACCCGGTCCACTGTAATCTGTGGAGCAGCGTGGGCCGACACCGGCTGGTGGGGTCATTTGCAGAGGAGCGTAAACGTGAGCGCTATGTGCTCGGGATGCGGAGTGGCCATGTGTGCATGAAGCCAGCTGCTGTCCTCAGCCAGGGGCTGCCTGGTGCCAGCTGGCTCAGAGAAGCTGCCCATCGCTGCACTCACAGTAGACATCCACTGTGCGGCTGAGGTTGGTGCTGCCCAGGGCGTTGGTCACCTCGCAGGACACGGGCTCTGAGAAGTACGTGTAGTCCACAGTGGTCCTATACACCTCCCCAGATGCCTCCTTGATGATGTGTCCCCGCTTGGCCCACCTGCAACAGAGGCCGGGGGTTAGGGGGACCTCCCCTGGCATGGCTGTCCCCCTGTCCATCCCTCAGGGCAACTGGGCCTGTGGGGCCCTCAGTGGAAGTCTCCAAAGAGGGGCGTCCTCAGAGGCTGGGAAACAGTCGGTCTTCACCCACCCAGGGGGTCGTGGCAACAGTGGGCTTTGGGCTGTGGTCACTAGTGGCCCCTATATTCTGGAGGGATATGACTTGATTACCCAGGTGGCCGGTCCATCTGCCTGGCGAGACCATGGTCGACCCAACTGTCAGCAGCAGACAGCCTGCCTGTCCTGCTCTGTGCACAACTACGGGCCTATCCTGGGCCATGTTAGAAAAGGAGGCTTAGTTCTGACCTCAGAGGCCACAGTCCAATGTTGTGTGCCCTTACATGCATACACTTGCACACGCACACCTGCATGCACATCCCTACCACACGCAGAGAGAAAAATGAGTCTCTTGGAGCCTGGTCTCCAGGCAAGGTGCGATGTAGGAAAGCTGTGATGGAGACCTATCCCACCAGCTCTTCTCGTCCCGCTCAGCCACCTCACTCGCTTCTGGCTCCTGCCCCCAGTGTGCATCCCTCCTGGTGCCCCCTCTCTCCTTGGATGTCATTTCAGCCTCCCTCCCAGGGATGGCACTTGCCCATCTTCCTCCTCAGCATCTACCTTCCTGCTCTGGATTCGATCTTTGGAGGCTGCAGCTCCATTAGCCCTGGTTTGTGGGGGAAGGGGGGCAGGAAGCGCCTTTTGGCTTATCAGTACCCCAGGCTTGGCCTCGACCCTGAGGTGGTGCTCACTGCATTGGACAAGCCACCAGGCATCTGCTATGTGCAGGAAGCGCTGCAGACCATGGGGGTTGTGTGTTCATTGTGAATGTGTACGTGTGTGAGTCTGCATGCTTACATGCCTGCATACGTGCATATGTGGGAGTGGAAATGAGTGCACGCATGTGTGTGAGCACACATGAGGGCCCAGGTGTACACATGTGCACACATGTATGAAGGTGGGCTCTCATTATAGATCCCTAAAGAGAGAGAGCTCACAGCTTTCTGCTTTTCATCCTATCGTGGACAGCAGTGCCTCTTTGAAGCAGAGAACTCCTACCTTGCTCAATCTAGACAGATTCCCTCTGCCACAGCTCGGCCTGTTTTGGGGTGTGAGTGTTTCATGTGAGAGCATTCCTGTGGCCCTGCCTCTCCTTCCCTCCCTCTGCTCTGGGACTTTCCTGGTCCCTCCGTGTCCTGTCTCCTCCTTCCCTCCCCAGCTCCTTGGCTTGGTGTGGCCCATGTAGCCCTGAAAGATGGCCATTTCTCTGAATCTCATGGATCACCTAGGCCAGAGTTGTGCAGTTGTTATCACGAATTAATATCAGGTAATTATTAAGAACACCATTAATAATAACAATTATAGTTTAACAACAGAGCAAACCATAGCTCCCTGAGAGCTTAAGGAGCTTCCCAACAAACCATTATGAGTTATTCATGAATCATTTCAATTCCTAACTTTAATTTAATGACCAGACTTAATAGTCAGGCACGGCCCCTGTCTGAGGTGGAATAATTCAGTTCCAGACACAGCTGGGGATGTGGGTCCCACTACTCCTTCTACCCTGTGGAAGTGAGGGGGTCTGAGTGGGACACTTTGAGAGACCAGGCTTGGGGAGATGGCCCTGCTTCTGGAGGCTTTCGGCACTGGCTGCTGGGGCTGGGGCCCAAGAGAGCTGGCTTTGATGGTGTGGCCCTGTTTCTTCCTCGGGGGCTGTTGGAGAAGATGGGCCTTCTCCTTCTTCTCTGTTGGGGGCCCTCCCTGTGAAAGCCACTTGCTTGGCCCGAGTCAGCAGGAGAAGTGCTGGGGCCCTGCAGGCCTGGAGCCCAGCATTCCAGGTCCTGCAGATCCTCCTTCCCAGGCCAGGATGGAGTGAGAGAGGAAGAGACAAGAGGACCCAGACAGCCATGGGAGAGGAGGCTTTCCTGCCCCAGCAGAGGCATGCTGTTTGAAATGGCCCTCTGTGTGGCCTGTCTTCCATTAGAGGTGCTGGGATAGCAGGAGAGGCTCTCTGACTGTCCCCTCCCAGGGTCATGGGCAGGAGCAGCCGAGGGTCTGGATCCTCAGAAGCCCAAGACCAGGGACTTTGGTGAAGGCACCCTTGGTACCCCATGCCTCAGGAGTCCTCTGCTCACACCTCAGTGTGTTTTCCCCTCCCACACCTAACAAGCCTGAGGGATCCCTGCAGAAGGCTCTGAACATGCCTCTCAGCAGCTGGCCACCCAACCAGGGCCCCTCTTGTCTCCTGTTGGTCTGAGGCTCAGCCTCCTCCTTCCGGCTCCTTCTCTGTATGTTCTCTCTCTTTCCCTGCTGTTGCTTCCACATCTTTCCCAGCCCCTCTGAAAAGGGACTCAGCTTAAACCTTCCCCAATCAATGTCTAATTTTGTCTGAACAAATGTAAGAGGATTAATTATTTATATCTCAGAATCAGGAGGCCTGGTGTGTCATGGCTGGCAGGTTGGCATGTCAGACAGCCCCGAGCTTGTCTGCGGCCACCTCAGAGCGCAGAGCTCGGGGAGCCTCATGCTGCGCTCAGGCCTGTTCTGCTGGCCCTGGGCTCCTGGTCCCTGGGGGCAGCTGAAGAGACAGCCATGCCCGGCCATGCCCTCTTTTAGGGTGTTGGGGTTGGGGAGAGCATCTGCTTAATTTCGGAGATTACAGCCTCTTAGGTGGACCAGGGAGGAAGCACTCAAGACAAAGGGAAATAAAGAAACAAAGATTCCCATGATTTTGTCAAAGTCAGTTGGGAAAAATCAATGTACTTATGTGATGAGATTTGCTTAAGGCTGTTCCTCTTGGGTCCCTGCATTCAGAATGTGCTTGCAAACTCCAGGCTGCTTGGTGAGTGCTTGCTGGGGGAAGGGGCTGAGTAGCCAGGACAGGCACAGGTCCCTGCAGCCTCCATCCTTCACAGCCTGGCTCTCATCTTTTTCTGGGACTTGAAGGCTTCCCCAAAGCTTTTGGAGCCCCGGATGGAACCCAAGCCCGCATTGACATATTTTCAGGCTAATCAGAAGTGCACGAGGGATGTGATGAGTAAAAACCAGTGACCACCTGCAAGGAGTCCCCACTCTGCCCTTCACAGCTCCTAGGTGCACCAGGTGCTCCTGGGTCCCCAGAGCCACAAGGTAGGACAGAGAGGGAGGGAATTCCCCTGACACCAACGCCCAGGGAAGCCTGCAAGCTCATTAACTTTTTACTTTCCAAAACCAAACTTCAAAATCAGAGAAGATTTACAGAACAGTCACATTAACTACCATCTTTCTTCACCTCCATCTGCCAGTTGTTCACACTTGGCCATGTGTGCTTTAGAATGACTTCTCCCTGTATAGATTTACACCTCTTCTTCCTCCCTTTTTTACAGGACTGGGATTTGAACCCAGAGACTTTGCCCTGAGCTATACCCCAACCCTTTTTTATTTTTTATTTTGAGATAGCGGTTGCTAAGGCACTAAGCTTAGTGACTTAGTGACCAGGTGGACATGAACTTGTGATCCTCCTGCCTCAGGCTCCCAGAGTGCTGGCATTACAGGTATGTGCCACCATGCCCAACTCTTCATATTGTTCCATCTTTTCGAAGTGGTTGGCCTTGGGAGCCAGGTCCCACAGCCTGCAGGAGCCAGGAGGCAGGGGTGTGGCCAGAAGCTTTCTGGGCTTGCTGCCTGCTGCCTGCCCAGCCTCTGATCCCCAGGTCTCCAGGTGACCAGGGCCCCAGAGGCACTCGGGGGATGGTCCTGAGGATGAGAGGGCAGGGTATCTGCTGGGGTTCGAGTGAGAGTGGTGAGGGGGTGAGAAGAGCTGCCTTGGGAAACCGGCGTGAGAGGTGTTCTCTGGGCACACTGTTCCTGGTATCAAGGGCCCATAAGCCGAGAGCTGGGAGCAGACAGAGGCCAGAAGCTCAGCCTGGAAGGTGCAGGTCCAGAGGAAAGGCATCTTACTAGGTTTTCTTTCTGCGTCTTCTTTCACTTTGGGACAGATACCCAGCCAAGCCAGACCTGCCCCTTGGATCTAACTGGGATGCAGGATTGCTGGGAGCCAGGAAGGGACCTCTGGTCCTCGGTTCTTATGGCCTCCAGTGCAAGGAAGGGTTAAGTCAGGCCGGACAGATGGGTTTCCATCCTACTTTAACATATCCTCTGGGAGATGCTCTATGCCCTCCCTGGTGCTACTTAATTATCCCCACTGCAGGGAGCTCTCCTAACATCCAACCTGAGTCTCTGGCTGCCTCTTTGGTCCATTTGCCCTCACTCTGCCCGCTGGGCCTGCAATGCTTCAGGTCTTCCCTGCTTCCCACCCCCACTGGCCGGCCACTTTCCTTGTCTGGACCATTAGCATCCTTGGCCCTTGCTGAGGCTACAGCTTAATAACCCAGATCTACGGCAGAGGTGACACCCTGTTCTCTGCCACCAGGCCTGGGCTGTGGGGGATAGGGCAGACTTGGGGCCTCTGTGAGTTCCATGAGGCATCTGAGAGGAGGGTTTTGTCCTGAACCCCTCTGGGCCACTTAGTTTTGAAATCCCACATGATGAGGTGCATGGGCAGGGAGGTGCCAGAGGGGTGGCTGTGTGAGCTCACTCAATCAGGCAGACTCGGGTAAGGAGCCCCTAGTTTATGCCACGTGCTGCGCTGCATGCTGAGAGCCATAAGTGACTAAATTGCAGTTCTTGCCTTCGAGAAGCTCTGTCAAAAGGCAGAGACAAGCATGGAAAAAACAGTGATGCTTCCATCAGTGCTGTGGGCATGGACCTATGGGGGCCATGGGCCCTTAGGGTCCCGGGTACAACCAGACCCGAGTTGAGGGACAGTGATGAGGACAGACTGACTGACTCTCCCGGCTCTTTTAACTTTTTACCGGAACCTCTCTTTTCAGAAAGAGGGTCAAACAAGCTGTTAAGCAAAAGGGTATTGGCTGTTCCTCCTATGGAACAAGGAAAAGAAACATCCACTTGGCTGGCCGGTGGCTGGGTGTAGGGGAAGGGAGGAAGGCTCTTTGGACATGGATGTGAGCCATACACTGTGGCCATGTGTGAGCAGCAAGGGACACTCCGTGTGACAGGCCTGGAGGCGGAGGGCGGAGGGCCAGCCTGTGGCTCTGCAACTGTGATGCTCACCGGTACTGGGTGACAACAGGGTTGGCCTTTGCAGAGCAGTGGAATGTGACGACATTGTCCTCCAGAACAGGCTGTGGTTCCACCGACAGGTTGACAAGCGGGGGGTCTGCACGGAGAAAGAGAGATGTACTTGTGAACGGGGAAAGAATGGTGCCGGAAGCCCCCTGGTTGACAGGGAGAGTAAAGGCCAGAGAGCCCACCCTCCAGAGTCTCTCAGAGCAGCCACCACCCTGGTGGTCACTTCAAAGTGGGACAGGGCTCAGCGGGAGGCCTTGCTACTCCCTGGAGGATTGAAGGTCTGGAACTGAAATGAACCCCCAGGCAGGGAGGAATCACGCTGCCCAACTTCCAGCTTCTAGCAAAACAAAAGTTTTCAGAAGGAGAGGCGAGAAGGGGTGCAGGGGAGGGGAGATGGACATTTAGCCCCATTTCAGCATGAGTTTCTGTCTTTGAAATGTCTGTTTGTGATTTCTCTGTGTAAAGGTTCCGGGGCTTCTGGTAAGGTGGAAGTGGCATTTACACCCTTTCATCAGCGTAATCATCTCCACAGTCCTGACTGGTGTCATTGGCCCTCAATCCTGGGCGGGGGCTTGTTTTCTCTTCTGATGTGGTAAGAAGCCAGGCTCTGAAGTGCTAAATGGCAGGAGGTGGAAGAGACAGGAAGTCAGACAGAGGAAGGGAGACAGGACCCAGAGACTCAGAGATCTGCACAGAAGGCATGAGAGAGAGGTGGACAGAGATATAGGGATGTGTAATCAAAGATTTTGCACTGAAAGCAAAAAACACCAAGGGAAGCTCAATATCAGAGAGAAAATGACAGCATGTTGGGGAGAAGAACCAAAGTAATGAGGGACAGAGAAAAGAGAGAGGGAGAAACAGACCCTGAGAGACAGAAAGGTGGGAATACAGCTGGAGGGGTCCTCAGCAGAGAGGCAGAGAGGTGGAGATGAGCCCAGGAGAGGCCTTGGTCCTGCCCACTCACGAGGAGCTGGCTCCAGACCTCCTCCAAGGCTGGGTGGCCCTGCTGCTGGCCCTGGCAGCCCTGGGTAGCCATCCTCCAGGAGAGAGGAGACAGTGAGCCACAGTCAGCCATTCTCCCTTGTTGTGCCCTGGAGACCTGGCTGGAGTTCAGCTCTGGGCTGAGTCCAAAGACAGCGGACCCCTCAGCCTAGCCAGGACCCTGGGCTGCCTCTTCCTGGCTGGTCTCCATCCACAAGCAGAACAAATCGCTGGAAGGCTGTGGGGACTTTCTAGGTGTGTGGTTCATCTTCAGAAAAGTTAGTACTCAGTTTCTCAGAGGCCATTAAGAAAAATCCTGGCCCCTCTGAGCCCTTGTGAGAAGCCCCACAGGGAGCAAGCATCTGGATCCTGGCTGAGTCTACAAGTGGGGGTCTGAGACCCCCAGAGAGCCAGCGCGCAGTCTCCCAGCTGGGGCTGAGCCTGGAGTGTGATCATATGACTGCTGTGCTCCTGCTCTGTGTGCCGGAGCTGGGCCAAGGGTCACTGCCGGTGCAGGAGACACCCATGGGCTGTGTTGGCATCTGCAGAACCCTGATGAGCAGCAGGTGGATACCTGTGCCGGGGAGCCTGATCTCCCCACCTTGTCCCCAGGTTCCAGGAAGCATCGCTGCTGGAGGAGCCTGCCTGCTCCCCTTTCATGGAGAGTCATGAGGGACGAAATGGTGCTACAGTGGGATTTCATGGCCCCAAAGGTCCATGTGTTAAAGGCTTGGCCCCTCGGAGGTGCTATTGGGGGTGGTGGAGTCTTTGAGAGATGGGAGCTGTGGGAGGCCTTTAGGCCACTGGGGTTATGTCTTTGAAGGAGTTTGTGGGACCTCAGTCTCTTCTTTGTTCTCTTTTTTCTCCCACTCACATGCTCTCCTGCTATGATGTGCTGCTATGATGTGGGGCCAACTGATCAAGGAATAGAACCACTGAAACCAGGAGCCTAAATAAACCTTTTCTCTTACCTAAATTCATTCTCTCAGATATTTGCTATATGGTTGAAAGCTGATGGGCACAGATGGGTATTTTGACCAGTTCACTCTCAGTTCTTAAGGCACAAATTAAGTGATCATAAAGATGTATATAGCAAGGAATTGCTATGAGAACTCTCCTGCAATCTCCCAGAAGAGCTATCCCCTCCTTACACCTACAGCCTGTCCCTGTTTCCAGGGAAGGCTGAAGCAGGGGCCTGAGCCTGTCCTGCCAGGCTGGCCAGCTAAACTGTGCATCCTCAGAGGCCAGGGAAGAGCTTGTGTCTCACTGTGGGGAAGTGTGTCTGGAGGAACAGGAGATTGGTAATTGCCATCTGGTCCCCAGTTTGTAGCTGGCCCATGTCCTCGTGAAACCTAGTGCTCTTGTTTCAGGAAGTGATGGTGTCAGTTCAGTGGGATCTGGAACCCTGCTGTGGAACTGGGAAAGATCCACGAGGCCCGTCCCTCACCTGAGTGTCCTTTACAAAGGAAGGAGCCCTCAAGAGGCAGGGACACAGCACATGGAGGCTGCTGGCCACCCCTCTGGCTGCCATTGTCATTCCCCCTAGGTAGGGCTCTCTTCTGCTTCCTCCCTCTCTCCTTGCAGTCCCCAGTCCCCAGCCTGTCCTTAAGGGCCTCCAGAGAACAGGCCCCAGGAGGGCCCCCCTCACCTGTTTCGTCTGCACCTCTGCCCCAGCCTCACCCCCATCCCTCTCTCTACCCTCCTCCTCTGAATGCACAGGATTTGAATTTTCAGGAGCCTGCTGGGCTCCAGGGGTATAAATAGTTTATGTCATATCCAACTATTAAACATGATTTTAATCCCACTTGTGATGTCAGCTGCATAACTTGCAGTAGGGCAGCTTTGATGTAGCTGGTGGAACTGAGATCACATTGAACAGATGTTACAGCTGAGAGTCTGTTAGTGTTTCCATCAGCAACCTGCGTGGGTGTGTATGTGTGCATGTGCGCGAGTGTGCATGTGCTTGTGTGTTTTCAGGGGAAGTATTACATGAAGGGGGATAAGAGAGAAACTTCATGACTCAGTGATTTTATAGCACATCCATTTGAAACTTGGCAGCTGGACACAGACTCCAGATGTGGCGAGGCTTTGGGGGTGTTAAGCTTTCTCTCCCATTACTCAATCTGGGGGCTTTGTCTTCCGTTGGGTAACATAGAAAGACCAAGGGAAACAAACAACAAATGTGCTTTTGCTGAGTTTGGATGCTTCTTGGTTGACTGAGAAAATGAGCAGGTTTGCAAAGGCGGCTCAGATCCAGGCTGTGGTGTCCACAGCAAATAGTTGGATTCGTATGGAATGAACAAACGAATCAACAGAGGAGGAAGGAGCAAGGCGGGGGAGGCATGAAGAGGCTGTGCCTTGCGGAGCAGGCACATCTAAACACCTTCTGTCCGGGAAACAAGTGCTGGGGCAGATGGATGAAGGCCTCAGCCTGGGGGGTTGGAGGCACTGGGAGGGACTGCCACACCCCTGGGAGTAGATATGGCGCTCATAATGGGTCAGGTATGGTGCTGGGCACTGACGTGAATGATTTTGTTTAGCCTTCACGGCAGCCTTAGGAGGTGAGCAAGAATACTGCTGTGTCCTGATGCAGAAACTGAAGCAAGTAACTACTCAGGTCTGCCTCACCCAGTATGTGATGGAGCCAGAATTCAAACCACCACAGCACTGTACTGCCTTGGATGGGCCCATCTAGGAAACCAGGCACCTGGGTTCTGAGCCTTTGGCCACATTTCCCATGGCCCCAGCCTGATGCGGTTGAGATGTCCTTGGAAAGAATTCCAGACCGGGCCCAGAGACCTGGCCGTCTAATGCGGACCCCATCGTCCGTGCAGCCTGGTGAACAGGTCCCCTCGCTGGACTTCGTCTAGAGGATGTCTTTGAGTAGCCAGGGGCGGTTATAATGATGACTTTCTTGTCCCTGAGAGAGGTTCCCCTGGGTGATGGCTAATGGTCTGGAGCAGAAACACTGCTTCTTCTCATCTCTTCCTGCCAGGGCTCTGGTTGTTGTTGTAGGGGAGCCAACTAGGTCGTTTTCTTTAATGCAGGATTCTGTAGCTGGCACAGCCTCCTGCCCAGGCTGGGGATGAGGGTGAGGGAGGGAGGAGAGGGAGCAGCACAGTGGCCACAATTTGCAGCCTGGAAGTAGGGGCTTTTATGCTTTGTCTCCTGCCCTCTCCTCCAGATCTGGCTGTGTCTGGAGAAAGTCCTCAGCCACAGTCAGTCCTAGAGCTGGATGAGACCTTGGACATCATTGATCAAATCAGACCAGGAATCAAAGTCCCTGGGGAGAAGTGACAAGCTCACACCTATCCAGCTCATGGGTGTGAGGCTGTTCTGGATACTGAACCACCCAGCCCAACAGCATCTTGGCCTCTGCTCGGTGCCACAGCTGTTCACCTGGATGAAAGCAGATGGTCCTGAGAGCCAGGGCTAGACTGGGGCCAGGGGAGGGAGGAGCCCCGGGTGCAGAATCTAGGGAGGTCTTCCTTGTTGGGACACACCCTGTACTTACAAGACCAGTCAGAGGGAGCCTCTCCTTACATTTTGTGCCCTTGGTGCCCTCCTGGCTCTCACCGACTGAGGAGGAGTGGAAGGAGCCTTAGGCTGCATGGGAGGAGCTAAGGGAGGGTATTAGTAGCTGGTAGCACTAGATACTAGATCCTAAGCACTAGATAATAAGATAGTGAAGGAGGAGCCTTCCCAAGAGCTCTACCATTGTGCCCAGGTTCCTGGAAGCCAGAGGATGCTCACAACCATTTCTTCCTCCTTCTGGGATCTAAGCAGTTTCTTCCAGGGCTCTGGGCATTTGTGCTGTCTGCCCACAATGGGTTCCTGAAACCCTAAGACATGGCCCCTATGGACTCTGACTCCTTGGTGAGCCGTGGAGACCTCAGAGGCCTTGGAGGAGCCAGGGCTGTTAGAAGGTGCTTTTAAGTTCATTTGCTTTAAAATGAATAGCTGCTGAGGAGGACATGAACACCAGCCCACAGCCCCAGCTTGTCACTCAGCCTATGACCAAGTGGTCACCAGCAGGCAGTGACATTATGTTCTATGGCAGGGAGGGGCATCTGAGAGGGGAAAGTCCACTTCTGAGGACTGGTGCTTCACACCTGAACTAATCCTCTCTTGATAGGCAGGCTGTTGGAATGACCTTACTGAGCTCTTCTTGGTTCGTGTGGGTTGACGAGCCCATAGGGAGTCTTTAGGGGACCTTTGGGAGACTCCCTTAGGTGGTTTCTGGGAGGTGATGCTGGCCAACCTTTATAGCCTCCTTATTGTTAATATTAACTGCAACATGTGACACCTGCTGAGGACTGAACTTGTGGGAGTAGAGTGAGGGTTTCTTTGGTGGACTCTGGAAAGCAAACCTGCTTCAACCTGGGCTTGAAACCTCTGTGGCCTTGGGCAAGTTAACTAACCTTTCAGTGCCTCAGTTACCCTAGATGGTGCCTCAAACATATTAAATGAGATAATGCAGCAAAGTATGGGCTGACTATACAGCTGCGCTTCCTCTTCCATAACAGTGGCCTGTATACTTTCTCCAGGGCATGTTCTGGAGCCCCAGTGCCCTTCAGCTCCCAGCGTCTCTGCCCTGGCTTCGTCTCCAGCAGCAGGGCCAGTGGCTGACTGTATCTACTGGTATGAAAGCTCCACCTTATAAAGGTGTCTGAGCTGTCCTTGGCAAAGGACCTTCACTGTGCTTCCCATGACAGACAGTAAGAAGGACAAGATGGCCCTCCTGCCCAGACACAGAAAGTGACCATCGCGAAGAGCTGTGGGCACTGCCCCTGGCTTCAGATGGCCTGGACCATGGGCAGGGCTGCCAGGTGGTTCCCATCCTGGCCAGCCTGGGTGGGGCTGATCGGCACTCACGCTGGATGTCAATGGTGACCGAAGTCTCCTTCCCTCCAGGGATGGCTTTGTTGGTGGCACGGCACACAATGCTCTGTCCATTCTCCACGTCGCCAGGGGAGATGAAGAGGGTGCTGACGATGCTCTCTCTCTTACCATCACGGAGCAGGGTCTGAAGCGATAGAAGGGATAGGAGGCCGCATGTCACTCACTGGGCTGGGATGGCCTGGGTGGACAACAGACTCCAGCTCTGAGAGAAGAGCAGAGAACAGACATATGTGTGGGATGGGGGGATTAGCTCAGGAGATGTGGGGTGTCTGTCTCCATTAGAGCTTCTGGTTATCCTTAGCTCCCTGGCCTGGATCAGTGCTGGACCGTGGAAGAAAAAAGAAACTGGAAAGATGGCCATCATGTTTGAAAATCAGCCTGGACTTGTAAGTTTGAAAATCAGAACAAGAGCAACCAGGCTGGGCCTAATGGAAGCCATGCTTGGTAGGTCCTTTGTAGAAATGAGCTGACCTCTATTCTGCCTCTGGTGTCCGGGTGAGCCATAGGGTCTGCAGGAGGCAAGGGGATGGTTTGCAACCAGTAACCGTCTGCAGAAGAGGGTGGAGTTTGGGAGATGGGTGAGGGAAGGATTGGGTAGGGCTGGGGGTAGAATCAATGCACCTCACTCTTTCATTATTGTTCAATGTAAACCCTCACAACATTTCACATCATTCTGCTTCTTGATCTCCTTAGAGACCCTACCGCACCATGGCAGGACAGATGCCATTATTTTCCACCATACAGGGGAGGAAACAGGTGAGATTGGGAGAGGTGATGGGATATGACCAAACTCATACTTCAAGTTGGTGGCAACATAAGCACTAGGGTCCTGAAGTGGTTGAACAATAGCTCCCCAAATTTGTGTCTACCTAGAACCTTAGAATACCATCTTATTTGACAATAAGGTCTCGGCAGAGTAGTTATTATTAATCGATTGAGGATTTTGAGATGAGATCATCCTGGAGAGGGAAGGCCCTATGTGTCCTTTTTTTGTTATACTGGGGGTTGAACTTGGGACCTTTGGCTTTCAAGGTATGCGGTGGCACCACTGGGCTAAATCCTTGGCCCACCTAAGTATCCTTTTTTTGGGGGAGGGGGCGGTACAGGGGATCGAACTTGGGACCTTGCACTTGCAAGGCAGGCTCTGGAACCACTGAGCTAAATCCCTGGCCCTCACCTAAGTATCCTTTTAAGAGGAGGAGATGACACAGACTCTGGGCACTGTATGATAGTGGAGCCAGAGCTTGAATACTACTGCCACAGGTAAGGAAGACAGGAAGGCACCAGGAGCTAGAAGAGGCAAGGAAAGCTTGTCCCTAGAGTCTTTGGAGGTAGCACAGCCCTGATGACACCTCTATCTCTGACTTGGACTCCACAACTGTGAAAGAAAGAATTTTTGTTGTTGTAAGCACCCAATTGTGGTGTTTTGTTATGGAAGCTCTAGGAAACCAGCACAAGTTTTGAGGCCATTGGTCTCCTCTTTTCTGAGGCCATTGCCTTTTCCTACTGGACCAAAATACCATTCTATAGCTGGTTCCCTCATTATGGCTCCTACTCTTCCCCTCCTTTGTGCCCCTTTTCAGCTACTTCACCAGTAATTTGGGGCTCACTAAGGAAGGCACAGGCCTGGGAGCATGTGCTGGGTGAGAGGAACAGTCAGGTGAGGACTGAACTCTACTCAGCTTCAAAGACTTCCTGTCTGGAAAGGAACTTCACTCCTTGGGGTAGGAGTGGGACACAGTTGTATTTTGCCAGGATGGTAGCCAGGCAATAGATGGCTCTACTTGCTTGAGACTGCCCATAACATAGTGGTGGTATTATCTCTAATTCTCTCAAGGGCCTGGAAATAAAGGAGCATCATTTCTGTTAGGGAAGAAAAAACAGTTCAAAGTGAGTCAGAAACTTGCTGGGCAGAGCTGGACTTGAATTTACAGATGGAGGACCTCTGAGTAGTATCCCTCTGTACTGTCTCCCTGAGACACCAGAGGGTGGTAATTATGTGCTGCACCTTGTGGGTGGAAACACAGTAATTATTTATCTTAGAGGCCAGTTACTGGACCAGTTAGTTGCAATCAGTAGACTAGCAGAACCTGCCCTTTGGGTCCTCATTTCGGTGTGGACCCTCTCAATTTGGGGCAAGGCTGTGGCCTCTGGGACTAGGAGCAGCTGGCCTGAGCATCCATCTGCATCCAAGCATCCTGCTTTAGGCCTAGTCCGACCTAACAGTCTAGAGGGAGCCCCAGGGCAGGCACAACCCTGCCTTTCTCAGCATCCCTCAAAGCTGGCCTCACAGGCCTGAGGCTTCCTAGCGATTCCCTTCCTGGGAGGAGCAGTGACAGCCCGTGCTGGGCTGGCCGCTAGGGGAGAGGGATGTGGCCAGTCCCTGCAGTAGCTCCCAAGGTAGTCTTCAGGTCAGCCTCTGGGCTGGGGTGCTCAACTGGAGGCGCTCCCAAAGGCTGCGGGGAGTGTGGTTTAGCCAGCTCGGGAGGGAGCTCAGCCGGCATCACATTACCTTGATGGCTTGGGGCTGCTCCGCAGACCTCACTAGGACTATAAATAGCTAAGCGATAATAAGAAACAATTTCCTGGATGAAAATAAGACCTTAGGGTAGTGTGAAGGGAGGAGGGAAGGGGCCGACATTGTTCTCCTCATCTCTTTTTCTTTACTTTTCTGAGGTGCTAACAAGGGATGGTGACATAAATCTGACTCTTTCTGAGAACCCCTCTAGGGTGGCTGGATCTGGGCTGGCTGTTGGGATGGGGCCTGTGGATGCAGTGCAGGGGCAGCAGGGAGGCCTGGCCCTAATTAGGCCCCAGGCCTACTTCCCCTCCTCCCCAGCCCAGCCTACTCCTCTGCCCTAGAATGATGATTAATGACACATTTACTGGGTCTGGGCGGTGGTTTTCTGGGAAATAAAAATCTTGGTTCAACTTGTTTGTTCCACCTAATTAGAGAAGAAGGGAGATGTGTTCATTAAACAAAGGAAAAGAGGAGAGGGCCAGAGTGGCAGGGTCAGGTCAAAGGTGCCTCAGGTCGAAGGCCTGCCCCAGCTCTCCCTCAGGGAAGGGGAGGAAAAGTCAAGGTTGTAGGCCAGCTGGGCTGGAGGCTGACTACGGGGCCTCCATGCCCTGGGGTGGGGGATGGGGGTGCTGGTCCTGCAGAGGTGCCAAGCGGTGGGGTGGCTCATCCACACCCTGGGTTTTTCTTTCTTTTCTTTTCTTTTTTTTGTACTGGGGATTGAACTCGGGGCCTTTCGGGGCCTTACGCTTTTGAGGCAGGCGGCAGGACTACTGAGCTAAATCCCCAGCCCATCATCCCAGGTTTTTCTTCTCCCTTCATCCCTCCCATCATTACCTCTCCTTTCTTCTTCCTCTTTTCTTTTGCTCAATTCCCCTTTTATAACTCTTTTCTCATATGCAAATGAAGCTTTGGGACTTAGTGGCCTTGAAGGTTCCAGTCCAGGGTCCTTTGCTGATTCCTGTCACAGCCCTGCGCCTTCTTCCTCCCACTGTTTCTCTCACTGCACTGGGCTCTGGGGACACTGCAGGCACAAGGCCCCCACCTCCAGCTTCTGAAACCCGTCCCTAGCATGCAGATCAGCTCTGGGAGGAAGTGGATTCCTTAGGTGAGATGGTAGCTTCCGGAGCCACCACTTCCCGGCCTCCCTCCAACTGAGGGCTAACACGCTGCGAGACTCCAGGCCTAGCCTGCCAGGTGATGGTGTTCCCAAGGGCACAGATAGGGACCAGGGTACACGTGTGGCACAAATGCATCGTGTGCCCAGGATGAGCATGCCAGGAACATTTCTCAGAGAGACGAATGCTGGTTGCTGGTCCTGGGGGTTTTGCTTCCAAGGGGTTTCCAAGGGGCTTTCTGGGCTGCTCCAGTGACTTAGCGCTTGTTCTGGTGCTGCTTCCTGTCTGTGCACCCTCCCCTAACTGACCCCGAGTTTATCTCTTGGTTTTACCAGCTGGGCAGTGGGGCACCCAGTGCACCCTGGAGCAGTTGCCTAGCATGGGCAGCTGTGTTTTTTCCAAAGAGCTGGGCCTGGGCCAGGCCGTTGGGAGCCAGGGGCCAGAGGAAATGCAGCGCAGTGGGAGCCCTAACCCTGGCGCTAAATAAGGGAAGCTCATTGATATGCAAACAGCCTAGAGAGGCCCTGAGCGGACCTGATTGCCTGGCAACAAGGCCGTCTCTCTTCTCCCTCCCCACTCACCTCCCCCACCTGCTGTGTCCTTTTTTTCAAAATCATTTTTCTGTTTCCCTTTTTTATTGCTGCTTGGGGATCCAGGTATGCCTGGTGTCACCTGGACTGAATAAGGTGCATATGGGTAAAGCGTAGGATGGCACAGTGTCATGTGCCCCAGTCCTGCATCCAGCCTTGTGGCCTAGGGTCACAGAGAAAGGCAGGATGGGTGGTTGCCACACTACTGGAGCTGGGTAGAGATTCTGGATGGATGGGCTGTAGTGCAAGGGGTTACCAGTGGGGAGGGGTGTGCAGTGCAGGGTGAAGGCCCTGGGGATGCCAGTCCTCAGCCCTTTCCCTAGCAGAATCTCTGAGCTAGCTCCTTAGCATGAGCCCAAATGAGGCTATGCTGGGTAGTCATCAGGGTCCCCTTCAGCAGACAGGCAGTCTGAGGCTGGAGAAAACACAGAAGCAGAGCTAGGGCTTGAAGGTTGTGCCTCCCAAGATCAAGCAAGCCTCCTACCTGGCTGCAGCACAGCAGGGCCAAAACCTCACTACACCCCAGGCCCCCCACCCCCAAATAGATGGGCAGGAAGTGGCTCCTGGGCCAGGCTGAGACAGTTTGCTCTGGGCTCAGCCTATACTCTTCCCTGTCTGTCCTCCCTGGGGTTTGTGGACCTGCTGGTTTCCAGATGAATGCCATGTGACCTCCATTCTGGTATCAGGCCCAGAGAAGGAGGAAGAATGAGTAGTCTGGCTGTCCCCAGCTGTCCCCAGCTGCCTGGGACTGAATGCCCAGGAAGATAAATGGTAAAAGGCAGCCAGACACCCCCAGACCTGGCAGGCAATGCAAAAGGCCCTACCCAGCCATGAAGCTATAGCCAGCTTGTGTGGGGTCCGGGGCCCATGGGCATGCCCTCTTGCTGTCATTTTCCAGGAAGGGGCCTAGTGTCTGGCAGCTGTGAGAGTCACTCTTCTCCTGTGAGCCACATGGCAGAGTCACACGATGGAAATCACTCTGCTTCTCCAGGTTCACTAGCAACCCACAGACTCTGAAGTCAGGGTTGGTTTTGAAACCACCACAGCTGTGGTTTTTAGACTCGTGTGACTTTTGGAGTAGGGGAACTGGGGCTGGGAAAGGCAGGGCTCTGGGGGAAGGGAGCTAATAATATTAGCAAAGGTGCATAGACCCCTTACTGCATGTCGCACTCCTTGCAAGGTACTTTTAATGCATACCTTCCTTTAAGTCCCTCTGCAAGCCCAACAGGTGTCCATCATTATTACCCTTCTCATTTTGCAGCTGGGGAAACTGAGGCAGAGAGATCAAGTCAACATAATAGGCAATGGAGCCTGAGTTTGAACCCAGGTCTGTAGGACTCCATGGCCTGCTCTACTCTGACACCAACACAGCTTCTGGAAAATGCAGGAGGCAAGGTGGGTCCAGGTCAGTGAGGGGACAGTGAGGGACAGGTCACAGTCCAGTCCATAGTGAGCACAGGCCGTGCTCACTGTGCACCCACTGTGCCAGACTTGTTTCTGGCTCAGTCTTTACAATCACCCTTTGACCTGGGTGCTATTGTTGCTCCTGGTGTCCACATGAGGACATGAGGCAAAGGAAGATTAAGTCTCACAGAAAGAAGGTAATGGAGCCAGGATTCAAGTTCTCAGCTTCTGAGAACTCAGCTTCTGAGCCCTGGGCTTTCCCACCTACTGAATGACAAACATGAGGGCTGCAGACTTAAGGGCTGTCAAGGCTCCCGAGAGATCTTTCCTGGCAACCTTGGAGTCTGCCTGGTTGTGTGTGCCTATGCACATATACTCTTTCTCCTCTCCTGAGCTGCTGATGCCCTGTCCCTCCTTATGCTTTCCTGTCTGGGGCTGCTGTGCCTTTGGAAATCAATCAGAAGTGCTGTCTATGATAATGGTCCTTTCTGTCCTGGAGAGGGAGGGATGAGGGGGTTTTGACAGCCCCTAAAACCTACTCTAGACGATGTCTGCTGGATTCTGCCCCTCTCGCACGTTCCAGGATATAGCTTTGCAGCTTGTCAGAGCTACAGCATCTCTCCAGGACACTTGATTCCAACCTTTCATTTCACCCAGGAGGAAACTGAACACAGGGAGTGAGCCCAGGTGCTCCTACAATCATTCCCTTCACAGGAGCCCGAGCAAAGTCAGTGGGGAGTGTGGCCCCTCATTGGTCTCCAGTGGCATGGCGCCAGGCTCTCTGAGGGACCTTTACTACATGGACAGTGATGAATGCTGGGTCAAGGAGGTCCTGGGGCAGGTTCCACTGGGTGACATTGACTCTCTCATCTCCAGGTGGAGATACAAACCCCGGCAGGGGCCAGCTGGCCTGGCTTCAGGGAGGGACTGGAAGGCATGCCTTCCTCTCCTCTCCATCCTCCTCTGGATGATCTCCCTCTGTCTCATTTTCAAATTTCACAACATCACAGTGTGGCTCCAGCCCAGGATGTGAGCAGATTTATCCCCCAAGAGGCAGCTTGGCCCTGGATGGACTTATGCCCGAGGGAAGGCCTTTGTCTTGGGATCTGGCCCTGGCCTTTGGGTGGTGGCCAAACTTTGACGGGGTGACCCTTTGGCAGGGTAATCAGATAGGGGCGGGAAGGATACACCCTCAGAGCAGGGATAGGCTTGCCTCACATCCTCTGCTGATGGCAGGGCCTTTCTTCTCTTTCCAGGACCCATGAAGAGGAGCCAATGGTGAGTGGGGGCTGCAGGGAAGCTTGTGTCCTCCCCACTCTCTCGCAGAGGGCCCAGCTGGAGGACAGCACTGGGGTTCTGGACTGCTCTGGGCTCACAGGGTGGCTGTCCTCAGAGGGGACAGACAAGCACAGGCTGGTATGTCAGGAGACTGCAGTCTCCTGGTTAGAGGTCTGCAGTCCTGGTGGCACCACCAGATGGCCGGGCCGGGTAGGCACTCCATGTTCCGTCCCCAGAGCTTGGGGAAGCTGCCCTCGAAGGTCCCTGTCCTCTTAAAAGCTCTGCAGCACACAAACCCTGATGGGGACTCCACACAGTTTCCTGGAGGGGCATTTGGCTGTTTCAGAAGGTATACAGGGTTTTGTTTTTATTCAGGTATAGCAAGGTCAACAGATCTGCCACGGTAAAGATGGTGTTACATGGTTCCGGTTCCCAAGAGGCCAGGGCACCATGCCTTGGGGGCCAGGTGGGGAGCATGGGGTCACTAGGGCAGAGGGAGTGAAGGGAGTGTGTCTGAGCCTGTACCGTGGCTGGGAGGGAAGGAATGGGTCGACAGAGGACAGTGTGTAGGATAGGACAGCTCAGATGAATTCAGTGGGCTCTGGGGTCTGGGTTGACTAGAGCTGTGATGGTGAACCTTTTATAACTTTCAGTGATGCAAATGGCCCATTACAGCACGTGTGCCATAGGTTTGCCACCACTGGCCTAGAGTTTGTGACTCGTGGCCCTGAGGATAATGCCCTGGACTGTGGGAGCCAGGTACTACAGGCACAGCTACTATAGGTAAGGGGGCGTGGGTTCAGAATTAGCAGGTTTGCATATTAAAGGAAGTTATTTGCTTCCTGTAGGAATTGGTTGACTCTGGGAGAGGCAACCCATTTTTGGGTCTGCCAAGCCCCAAGCTGTCAAAATGTTATAAAACATACACACTCTCTCTTTCTCACACACACACACACACACACACACACACGCATGCACACATACACACATGCATGCACGTATGCACAAACTCACTGACAATATTGCTGGGTATAGTATTACCCTCCTGTAATTCCAGCTACTTGGGAGGCTGAGGCAGGAGGATTGCAAATTCCAGGCCAGCCTAGGCAACTTAGAGAGACCCTATCTTAAAATAAAAAATAGGGCTGGGGATTTAGCTCAGTGGTTCTGCCGCCTGCCTTGCAAGCTCCAGGTCCAGAGTTTGAATCCCTGTACTGAAAAAAATTTTTTTTTAATAAATAAAATTTAAAAAAAATAAAAAAAGACTGGGAATGTAGCTGAGAGGTAGAGTGCCCCTCCCCATTACAGGGAAAAAAAAAAAAAAAAATTAAGCCAGAGGCCAGTTCCAAGCACTTTCCACCATGGTTCCTTATGTGAGTTGGGGAAGAGGACAGCCAGACATAGGGCACGGTGAGAGATTGTAGGGTGGATTTCTGACTCCCTGGCCCCGGAGTCAGGAACCAGGATGCAGCAGAACCTAACAAGTCTCACTTGGCAGCCCTGGGGAGGAGGCCAGATCTAGCAAGTAAGGATACAGGAGTCCCAGTTAAATCTGAGCTTCAGACAAACAAAGCATAATTTTTTAGAGTACACATGGTCCAGTAATATATCCCGCGCAATATTTGGAACATACTTACACCAAAAATTTACTTATTGTTTTTCTGAAATTGAAATTTAACTAGGCGTCTGTCTTAGTTTATTCAGGTTGCTGTATCAAGATACCATAAACTAGGTGGCACATAATCCACAGAAATTTATTTCTCCCAGTTCTGGAGGCCAGTAAATCCAAGATCAAGGTATCACTGAGGGTAGGGGCCAGAAACCTGGTTCATAGATGGCTGTCTTCTCACTGTGTCTTTACATGGTGGAAGGGCCTCTTTTATAAGGACATTAATGCCTTTCACAAGGGCCCCACCCTTATGATCTGATCACCTATCTGAGACCCCATCTCCTAAAGCCATCACCATGGGGGTTAGGATTTCAACCTGTGGGTTTTGGGAGGACACAATCAATTCAGATCATAGTGGCAGTGTCTTGCTTTCTTTTTTTTTTTCTTTTCATTCTTTTTTGAGACGGAGACTTTCTATGTAGGCTGGGATGGCCTTGAACTCATGACAATCCTCCTGCCTCAGCCTCCCAAGTATGTGATTACAGGTGTGCACCACCTCACCTAGCTCAGCCTCCCGCATTTTATCCATCCCTGAGTCTCCTCTCATGACCATGTCCTATTCTAGGGTTTTCACTTTGTCCAGTGTCAGCCTGGGGTAGAGAGAGACTCTAGTGGGAGAAACATGGCATTTGAGACAAAGTGACATAGATGAAAGGTACAAGAAGATACAGACAGCCAGACAAAGAATGAGAAGGCAGACAGAGGAGAGCTGCAGAGAGCCCCGGAGACAGCCCCTCCCTGCCCACCCTGCCAGGCTCACCTTGGAGTAGGTGGCCCCGTTGATGACCTCTCCCTTCCGCAACCAGATGATGGAGGCCGCAGGCTTGGCATTGTCCGCGTGGCAGGTGAGGTTGAGGGGGTCCCCGGCGCGAAGACTGATCACAGGTCCCCCCAGGATGACAGGGTCATCGGGTGGCACTGCAGAAGAAGAGCAGAGGGGTCAGGTGGGGTGGCCCTTCCTTAGGGTGGCGTACTGGGTAGGGCTAATGGAGAGGTTGACAAATGCCAACCATCACTTTAACAAAACATAGACTCCCAAATCCACTGCACACCTGTTGTCTAATTTAATCCTCACAACATTCTTGCAAAGCAAACATTCTTATTATCCCAAGTACTCAGATCTGGAAACTGAGGCTCAGCAGGATGAAGCAACTTGCTTGAGGTCATATGCAGCAGAGCCGGACCTAGAAATCTAGGGGGAGATGGAAATATTGATTAAGCCCAAAGCAGGCAGTAAGCAGTGCAGGCTGTGGAGAGTTAACCCCACAATGGGCTTGTTTATAGAACCGAGTCCCTCCGAAGCCTACATGAGGTCAGAGTAGCTTGCACCCAAATTGCATTCAGACAACTAAAACCTTCTCATTAGAAGCACAATGTTCTAAGTACAACCATATATTTTGTCTACTCTGTTCCTAATTCAAGAATGCTTTGTCTTGTCCTTTACCAGCCTTGCTTACATTAATTTCCATAGAAACTGCACCACTTCACATCATCTCATGTAGTAATGCCTTTGCACATAGCTTGCCTTTACCCCAATTGATTATCAATAAAAATCAGTGGCTTGGACTAGCAGTTGCACCAGCATTGGTCATCCTGGCTCCTCGCTTTCTGTCTCTCTTAGTTCTGTCTTTTAATTTCTGAGGCCTGCGTCATGCACTGAGCAGGAGACTGGAGCCTACTGCAGAGGTTTCTGGTAACATTTCAGGGGTACCCAGTGTCTGGCTCCTGACCCTTGCAGCACCAGCTGGCTCCTTCCCCAGCAGGGAACAGGTACCAGGTGACAAGGAAACTTGCGGGGGGCCACTTCTTCAGACGGCTGTGATAGCTCCTCGCTTGGCACTGCCTGTGCACTTCACTCCTTCACAGTGGCTCCAGCTGCCTTGGCCCCAGAGCCTGAGGAGTCTCCACTGTATGGGGCAGAGTGCTTGTTGGCTGTGGCCCTACCAAGAGACTCACAGTGCCAGGGGGAAGGCATTGGAGCACCCTGTGGGGCGAGGCCCCTGCCAGGTCCAGCCCAGAGCCCCGTGCCTGGCAGCAGCTCCACAAACATTGCTGGCCCCAGCAGACAACCCTTGGATCTCTGGATGGCCATGTGCTCGCTATAGGATGAGCACTTATCATGGTGGACGATTGAGCACCATTAGTGAAGAGGCCCATAGAGGTCTAGTGACAGCCTCTTGCAGTGCTTGTGCTCATGAGCACATTGGGGACCAGGAGAAGTCCCAGGAGGGGAGGGCTTGCTGGAGACTGTCCGAGGCCACTGTCTCCCTTTCCCTGAGTAGTGCTTGGAGGGCCTCCCCTGGCACACCGGAAGTGTGGGCTGAGTGTGTGCCCAGCAAGCGAAGGGCAAGGGGATGCCTGCAGCTTGGAGGCCAGCATGAAGGGTCATCTCACATGGTTGCCCTTGCAGAGAAAGCCCATCCTTCCACCAAGACCTGGCAAATGACCGGCTGTGGCCTACAGGGGAGGGGTCGGAGCCAAACACTGCAGCTGGGTGGGCCCAGCCTGTTCTCTTAGGGCTGGATCCTAGGGCCTTCCTGTCCTGCTTCTCCTTTGTGCCAGCCATCAGTTCTCAGTTCACTAAGGTTTTGCCTAAAGCTCAGGGGGGCAAGAAGGGTCCAGGCCGGTACCCAAGGCAGCAAACCTTCAGGCCAGTCACCCCACCTGCCCTCCTTGGCCCTGAAAGAGGCCTGGCCCAGCATAAACAGCCAGCAGTGCCATTTCCTGAGGAGAACCAATCCCACGGGGATTGCTGCCTGGGCTCTGCAGCGATCCCAGCCAGGGGAGGAAGTCAGCCTTGTCCAACCCTGCAGGCCTTGGGCTCTCAAGCCAGACCTCCCCAAGTTGCCCTGGAGCTTCCAGGCCTGAAGGAAGCAGGTGGCCGTGGGCTGGAGACAAGACAACTGGTGGTGCCCACCCCAAGGCTCTCATTAGTGCTGTGGCCTCCTGGGTGCAAGCGTGGCCCAACAGCAAGGGGGGCTAATTAGAGCTCTCCCTCAATGACGGTGGGTGTGGCTAGAGGCTGATGAGAGAGGTTTCACCTCCCTGCCATGGCTGGGCAGAGAGCTGGGGCTTGGAGAAGCAGCTGGCCTCACCAGTCAGAAGGCTGGGCCATTGCCCTGTCCCCCTGTCCCCTACCAGGTGCCCACAAGGGAGGAGCTCAGGGTCAGGACACTGCAGTCTTAGGAGAAGGGGGAACACCTGGTCCATTCTCCTCAGCATCCCCCAGGCTGAACCAAGAAGTGCAGGACTGCGGAAGGCACTGTGGGTCAGAGGACAGGCCCTTTCCCTGTGGGAGCTTCCTCAGGTATAAATGTGGAGGCCTGACAGAGGATGTGACATTTCCCTCCACACCGACATCTGTCGGGTCTGAGATGGACTGGTGACCTCAGCGACATGTTATACTCTTCTGGGGAGCTTCCCAAAATCCTGCTGCCAGGGTGCATCCTGACCTACTCAGCCCCAATCTGGCTGGGGGTGAGTCCTGGGTCTCAGGACTTTCAAAAGCTCCCCCCAGGATCCCCCACTGTGACCACATTTGAGAACCAGCTTTTCCTGGACTTTCCGATCAGGTGCGCAGAACTCTGGCCAAGGCATTGAGACTGGGGGTGAGGGGCTTCCCAAAAGCCCATATGCATGGGCCAGGGATTTAGCTCAATGGCATCACACCTGCCTCAAGATCTCAAGGTCCTGAGTTTGATCCCCGGTACAAACAAACAAAAAAACCAAACCCGTATTCGAGGCCTGAGCCTGTCCTTCTTGCTTCTCTGGCGTAGTGTTTGGGGGATATTGGATTAGCTGGAGCGCAGGTTGAGGGGAGAAGGGAATGGGGCGGTGTTGTGGGAATTCTCAGGCGAACACACACATCCACACACACAAACATCCACCCTCAGAATGGGTCCTGATTACATCTTCCCAAATAAGTGGTTATCATGCTGGTTATTCATGTAGCCATGCATTATTGATTGGCCTTCGCCTCGCTGCACACCAGATGGGGGTGGGAAGGGGTGTAGGCGGGGGCTGGGGCGGGTGGGGTGGGGAGGGAGGATGTTGGGGGACCGTTGGGCTGAATAGAAATCAACAGTCACTCCTGGCAGCTGTAGCTCAGATGGGAAGAGGGGGTGCAACTCATTACCTCTCCATTCAGACTGGGCCCTGAGCAGGGACGGGCGGGGAGGGGAGGGAGTTGTGGAGGAGCCGGAGCCTGGAGATGCATTATTCATGACTCCCCCTCCCAGGATTGGTTATTATCCTGAACCACTATAGAGTTCTGTCTCCTAATTTTTAATCACAAGGAAGGTGGAAGCGTTAGCCTTTTTGTGATTAATCTGGAGATAAAAATAGTTGTCTATTGGTGTTGTGCTTGTTGTCAATCAGGAAAAAAAAAATTGCATTAACTATTGGCAGACTGAGACCTGGAAAAAGACCTGTTGGATCCCAGGTAGTATTTGCAGCCAGAGCTAAAGCATCGTTGGGGAAGGCACGACCCTACCTCATGCCTCACAGAGGGGCTGGCGTGGGTAAGAATCCGGAACCCACCGCTCCTTGGGCATTGCTGAAGGAAGAGAACAGGGACGGGTCCACCACAGCAGGGGCTTGACTCTCTGCAGGTTGTTCTGTCAATCCAGGATCTGGGCAGCAGCCAAGGGCCTCCCTCTCTGCCCTGCCCTCCCTGACTCCTGCCCATGGTGGGCAATGTGAGGCCCTGTCCCTCTCCTGTGAGCGGGGCAGCTCCTCAGGCTTCCTCTGAGCTCTGTGGCCAGGCTCTGGGAGTCTCGTGGGGGGCAGGAGGCATTACACAGTAGTTTTGCACTGACAGAGAAGCAAACGTGCACAAGAGGCTCCCTTCACCTTGGAGTGGGGTGAAGGAGGCCAGGGTGGGCTTGGCGGGAGCATCCTGGCTCCACTGGGAGGTAAGCCTTTCCTCAGCCTCACAGACTAAGGCTCTCTCTACCTTTTGACATAAACAAGATTCTGGAGCTGAATGTCGTCTGGCACCACCACCCAGCCCCACAGGTGAATGTAAGAAGTGTTCCCACTGAAGTCTCGGCGTTCAGCACTAGGGCCCATCAGGAAGGCTCCAGGGACACCTGTGGAACAAGGCTAAGAGGGGCTGGTGTCAGAGACTCTGCCCTGCTCTGCACTCCTGTCCACTCACCGCCTGTGTCCAGTGGCTGCATGGTGTCAGGGTCACTTGGCACATTGTTTTGGGTGGCAAGGTTGGCCAGTCTTGCCTGGGCAGCCTGAGAAACTTTTCTTTGGGCAGCACCGAGTTGTCACCCAAGGGCCCCTGCCTGGGCTTTGCTCAGGAATCGCTCAGCTGGTCTATCAGCCCAGATGGTTGGCACCATGGGGGCCTATCTGGGACACAACTGTTGAGTGAGTCAGCAGCGCTGGCATGGAAGATTTTCTTGCCCAGTGGCAGCTGGCGAGCAGGAAGGTCAGTCGGGCCACCCTCCTGTTCACAGCTGGCACAGTAAGCAACCTCCTTTGGGGAGCAGGCTGTGTCCCCAGCTAACCGGCAGTGCACTCTTCACAAAGCCTGCTGCAGTGTGACCTCCTACAACCCTAATCTGTCTAGGTTCCTGCCCTGCTTTAAGCCCTTGGAGGGCCCCCAAGGTACAGAACATAGCTTGAACCCTCAGTAAGTCCTGCAAGCACCTGCATCCCAAGCCCTGCTGCCCCCGGGACATCAGCTCTTTCCACTGCTGCTCACTCCCAAGGTCCTGCCCCTTTGCTCTCCTGTCTGCCACATGTCCAGGCTCCTTCCTGAGTGGGGCCTCACCCTTGGTTTCTCTGCCTGGAATGCTTCTTCTTGTATCCTCGCCCTGCTGGCTCCTTCTTGTCCTTAAGGATGCAGCTTCAATGCTCCCCCTCAGAGAGGCCTTCCTGACCATCCTGTGAGACGAAGCCCCTCA